CTTATGTCTGTGACTCACCACCCTAGTATTGTTCAGTCTTATGCTAACTTAGTCCAAGGTTTCAGACATACTTCTTTTCCCTAGCATAGATGTTAGAGGTCTGTTTATTTAATTGCAAATGGAAAAGCAAGAATTTTCTGCATGCAATGTATAAAATTAAACACCATAGGAACCTGGAATGTGAGATCCATGAATCAAGGCAAGCTGGATGTGGTCTAACAAGAGATGACAAGACTGAACATCGACATCTTAGGAATCAGTGAACTGAAATGGACAGGAATGGGTGAATTTAATTCAGATGACCATCAAGTATACTACTGTGGGCAAGAATCCCTCAGAAGAAAGGAGTAGCCTTCATAGTCAATAAAAGAGTAGGAAAAGCAGTACTGGGATACAATCTGCAAAATGACGGAATGATCTCAGTTTGAATCCAAGGCAAACCATTCAATATCACAATAGTCCAAGTCTATGCCCCAACCTCTGCTGCTGAAGAGGCTGAAGTTGACCGGTTCTGTGAAGGCCTACAACACTTTCTAGAATTAACACCAAAAATTGATGTTCTTATCATCATGGGGGATTGGAATGCTAAAGCAGGAAGCCAAAAGATAACCAGAATAACAGGCAAGTTTGGCCTTGGAGTACAAAATGAAGCAGGGCAAGATATTGGCTGGTAAAATTTTGTCAAGTGAATACAATGGTCATAGCAAACACCCTTTTCCAACAACCCAAGAGACAACTCTACACATGGACATCACCAGACGGTCAACACAGAAATCAGATTGACTATGTGCTCTGCAGCCAAAGATAGAGAAGCTCTATACAGTCAGTAAAAACTAGACCAGCAGCTGACTGTAGCTCAGATCATGAGCTTCTTGCGGCAAAATTCAGGCTTAAATTGAAGAAAGTAGGGAAAAGCACAAGGCCACTCAGGTATGACCGAAATCATATCCCTGATGAATATACAGTAGAGCTGACAAATAGATTTAAGGAATTAGATCTGATAGATAGAATGCCTGAAGAACTATGAACGGAGGTTCACAACATTGTACAAGAGGTAGCAACTAAAACCATCCCAAAGAAAATGAAATGCAAGAAAGCAAAATGGCTGTCTGAGGAGGCTTCACAAATAGCTGAGGAAAGAAGGGAAGCGAAAGGCTTGGGAGAAAGAGAAAGATACACCCAATTGAATGCAGAATTCCAGAGAATAGCTAGAAGAGATAAGAATGCCTCCTTAAATGAAAAGTGCAAAGAAATAGAAGAAAACAATAGACTAGGGAGGACCAGAGATCTCTTCAAGAAAATTGGAGATATGAAGGGAACATTTCATGCAAAGATGGGCATGATAAAGGACCAAAATGGCAGGGACCTAACAGAGGCAGAAGAGATTAAGAAGAGGTGGCCAGAAAGAGCTTAACGTCCCTGATAACCATGATGGGGTGGGTGGTCACTGACCTCGAGCCAGACATCCTGGAATGTGAAGTCAAAAGGACCTTAGTAAGTCTGAGCAACAACAAAGCTAGTGGAGGTGACAGTATTCCAGCTGAGCTATTCAAAATCTTAAAAGACAATGCATTAAAAGTACTACACTCAATATGCCAGCAAATTTGGAAAACTCAGCAGTGGCCACAGGATTAGAAAAGGTCAGCTTACATTCCAATCCCAAAGAAGAGCAATGCCAAAGAATGTTCAAACTACCACACCATTGCACTCATTTCACACGCTAGCAAAGTTATGCTCAAAATCCTACAAGCTAGGCTCCAGCAGTATGTGGACCGAGAACTACCAGAAGCACAGGCAGGATTTTGAAGAGGCAGAGGAACTAGAGATCAAATTGCCAACATATGCCGTATCATGGAGAAAGCTAGGGAGTTCCAGAAAAACATCTACTTCTGATTCATTGACTATGCTAAAGCCTTTGATTGTGTGGATCACAACAAATTGTGGCAAGTTCTTGAAGAGATGGGAGTACCAGACCATCTTATTTGTCTCTTGAGAAACCTATATGCGGGTCAAGAAGCAACAGTGAGAACTGGATATGGAACCACTGATTGGTTCAAAATTGAGAAAGGAGTTCAGCAAGGCTGTATACTTTCACCTTGACTACTTAACTTATATGCAGAGCACATCATGAGAAAGGTGGGGCTAGATGAATCACCAGTTCGAATTAAGATTATCGGGAGAAATATCAACAACCTCAGATATGCAGATGATACCACTCTAATGGCAGAAAGTGAAGAGGAACTAAAGAGCCTCTAGATGTGGGTGAAGGAAGAGATTGCAAAAGTTGGCTTGAAACTCAACATTAAGAAAACTAAGATCTTGGCATCCAGTCCTATCACTTTCTGGCAAATAGACGGGGAAGAAATGGAGGTAGTGACAGATTTTATTTTCCTTGGTTCCAAGATCACCACAGATGGGGACTGCAGCCAAGAAATTAAAAGATGCTTGCTCCTTGGGAGGAAAGCTATGGCAAATCTAGACAGCATTCTAAAAAGCAGAGACATCACCCTGCCAACAAAAGTGTGTATAGTCAAGGCTATGGTTTTCCCAGTTGCAATGTATGGCTGTGAAAGTTGGACCACAGGGAAGGCTGAGCGCCGAAGAATTAAGGCCTTTGAATTGTGGTGCTGGAGAAGACTCCTGTTGGTCCCTTGGACTACAAGGCGATCAAACCGGTCAGTCCTAGAGGAGTTCAAACCTCACTGCTCTTTAGAAGGCCAGATACTAAAGATGAAACACATACTTTGGCCACCTAATGAGAAGGAAGGACTCCCTGGAGAAGAGCCTAATGCTGGGAACAATAGATGGCAAAAGAAGAAGGGGACGGCAGAGGATGAGGTGGCTAGACAGAGTCACTGAAGCAGTAGGTGTGAGCTTAAGTGGACTCTGGGGGATGGTGGAGGATAGGAGGGCCTGGCTGAATATGGGTTGTTCATGGGTTGCAATGGGTCGAACACAACTTCGCAACTAACAACAACAAAATTGGATTTCTCTGTATGAGGCAAACAACACAGTACTTTGTCAAGGCTGCTTCTTCTGTTTGCTGTGAGGGAAGTTTAGTGTCCCTTATCCGAGTTTGTTTCATGGGAGTTTTCCTCTCTGCCTCTCAATATGTCCCTTTACATTCCATTAAACAACACAAGATGGTGCTGTGGTATAAGTTGAATTGTGGAAATGAACTAGGCTTCTGTAGTAAGTAATGGTGCTACTCAGGAAAATATCAGACTTTCCTCAGTCTAAAGAAAGTGAAAAGGGCTGGGAAAGATGGCAGGTATTCTACAAGATGATGCCTTTGTTAAAAGGCACTGCAGGCATCCATGAGCAAGAGATTCTGGGTGCACAGTAAATGCCTCGTGCCCTTTGTCTAAGAAATCCCTCTTCTTGGATTTCATCTAGAAGTTCATGAATTAATGAGGCTAAGTTTTGTTGTCTGAGTATTTGTTTTGATGGGTTTTTGTTTTGCTTCCGACTTTTTCTTTCTTGGCTTAGCTTTGGTGCCGTTGTAAACATTGCATGCAAAGTTAGCAGCTTCTTATAGATATGATCGGTTGCTATAAAGTTGTATGACAAAAACACACCTTATTGATCCTGAAATTCTTGGTGAAATCATGGTTGTATCCAGGTGGGAGGCTTCTGAAAAAAGACGCACAAATTAGGCATGTTGTGTAGAAAGTGTGTGAGGTCATTTTATTTCTCATATGAGCAACATTGCATGAACTGACTGCTGAGAGATTCAGGACAGATAACAGGAGGCATTTCTTCACATAGCATGGAGTTAAACTATGGAATTCACTGCCAAAAGAGGCAGTGAGGGCCACCAATTTGGAAGGCTTTAGAAGAGGATCGGACAAGTTTTGGAGGGGAAGGCTATCGATAGCTAGTATTCCTGATGGCAACGTGTTATCTCCAGCATCAGAAGCAACATGCTGATGTCCTCACGTGTTGTGGAGCATGGGCAGGAGGATGTACGAATGGCCCGACTGTGGGCTTCCTCTGGGCTGCTAGTTGGCCAAGGTGTACACAAAATAATGGAATAGATGGACCCTTCTGATCCTACAGAGCTCTTATGTTCTTTTGAGCACTACCAATTGGAAGGCACCATGCAGCTATTCTAACTTTTTCTCCTTAATGAATTTCTCCATGGTAAGCAAAAAGACGGAAGAAGTGCTGGAAAACACTGGAGCTACATCGGTGGGAAACAACATCTGCACTATGATTGAGGCAGAAGGCCATGGTGTGATAAAAGCCATCAGGAAGCATCCCATATTTGTCATTGTATTAACGTAGCATGTTAGTACATGCTTATATGAGACTGATTGGAGTAGTGACATGTTCTTGACATGTTTCCCTCAGTGGACCCTTCTCCCTCAACAAATGTACCTTCTTGCTGCTATTGTCACACCTGCTCTCACTTCTCATCCTCTTTCTCATCGCTACTACCCCAGGCTTGCTTGGCAGTCCTTGAGCAAGGAGGCCATGGCTCCCACTCTTCTCCATCACCATTATCTGGACCAGTGTGAGAGGTAAAATAGTCCATTTTGGCAACTGCAGAGCATGATAGAAGGAGGCTGAGGTCCACCAGGATACCTTGTATATCACTTGCCTCCTCTCTGCCTCTGAATACCCAGACAGCCCCATCTCTGAGGGTGCATTTATGGCCTTGGAGAGGCAGACAGTGTAGTTCTTTCTGCATTAGATGCAGGAGGATGGTCTACCTTAGCTCAAGTTGGCAGCTGGGCTCTAGAAAATCCAATAACCGCCTAGGCACTGTCTAGCAGTCATAGGATTGTGCTATCACTCAAAAGTCACTGGATGGCTAGTAATGAGAACCTATGTAGACAGATAAGGAAATGAGACTGTGAAATGCCTGAGGTCATTTAAAGAATTCATGGTCAAAGAGGAATTTGATTGCAAAACTAACTCAGCTGATACATAGACACTAATACTGCTCCAGTACCCTACTTTCTTAAGTACTGGGAACATTTTTGACATGATTATTAAGCCTAGATCTATGTTAGAAACATCTCTCCTCCCAGAATAATCCAGAGCTTTAATTCTGTTTACTCAAGAGTCAGGGTTCAGTCTGGGAGGATACATTATCTAAGGAGTACATCATGCAGGGGATTTCTTGAGAAGAAAGCTCTCAGTGAGTTTCCAATTGGTGGCTGGTCTCAGCTGGAAATTTAATGCCTCTGGAAAGGACCTGCAAAAGGACAGATGGGAGATCATATGGACCACTAGACATAAGAAGTTAAGTGAGTACAATGTGTAGGATGCCTTTCATCATTCATTCACCGCAATAAATGATTTGTGCTTCTCTTAAGAAGTTTGTGCTTCTCTTAAAAAGGGCGAAAATATATGCTACTCCCCATCAGTCTCCCCAAGAAATGTGTGTCGTTCTTCACTGAGCACTTTTATGTTATTTTGAAAAACGTACTGATAAAATATTGTCCATGGATCAACTTTCCATGCAGATAAGAAAGACATCAGTTATTTTACAGTGTTGCAGCTTAGCTCATAGGATGTCTAGCCATGAGAGGGGTAGCAGCTTAAATGTTCCTAGAGTCTCATAATTAGTTCTAGAAGTAAAGTGTACAGGCTGAGGGTGGCTGGAGGGGAGTATTGGAACAGATACTTCCTAAATGCTGCTGCTGCTTGCAGTGCCAAGAAAAAGTTCAAAAACCCATTAAAATGCTGGACCTATGTGTTAACGTTGTGTACTTTACTCCTTTCATAGTTTGGGGTTCAGCCTCCGTATATCACTTCCTGAAGAAAAGAAAGTTCAGAAAAACAAGAGTGCAAGTGGGAGAGCTTCTTCAGGTAGGAGAAAGTAAGTTATTCACGGTTACTTAAAGCACAGTGGTGTTTTAATTCACCACAAACAGAATGATGCTCCTTTATCTTTAATTATACAGGAAATGAAATGAAGAATAGAGAGTTTGCAGGGCAAGTAAGATACACACTGGTATGTCTCATGATATCCTCTAGATTCCAGCCTAAGTGTGAATCTGATTCTTTCCTCTTCAAGTGTACTTTCTCCTTCTAATGGGAAAAAGAATGAGGGACTGCATTTTATACTACAAGTTCTCCTGACACATTGCATGAATATATACTTGAGCAGGAAATAAAAGATGCAAGCATTGTATAAAATAACATTAAATATTAATTCTAAGAAGTGTTTATTTATGATTTGGTCTAAGTATTTAACTATATTTGGAAGACCAAGAGTACAGTATCTATCCTTTAAAGGTTTCATTTGGTTTTGTAGTTTCAAAATTACTGTATTTCATAACTGATAATATAATAGTAAGCAGGTTAAAAAAGTAAACACGCCTGCCTTTTTATGTTCCAGAAACTGTTTTGTACAAGTAAGCTGAGTAGCAACTAGCAGATGTTTCATTTTAAAACTTTTCTTCTCAAAAGAGAGGAACTGATTTTGCATTGTTTTGGCATAGTTTCACAAATTAAAATTATGCATGCCAATTACATTTGAAATGGTTGTGCTTTTTAAAAAAGTAGCTTGTATACCACACTTTGTTATATGTCTTTTCAAAATATTGTTCTTTAAAGTTCTCTTTTGCTATCCTTTGTTTGTGCGGTGTTTATAACTAAGGTATGAAATTAATTTTCTGATCTGGCAGTGCAATGTTCTTTAGTCAAGCTGCTCTGAAAAGGCCCTGGGTTTCTAGAGACACAAAATGAACAGTGGTCATGACAGTGGAACCCTTATTTTTTCTATGGCCCCAGCTATACTGAGCCCGATTTATAGCAAAGTACTTTTAGGGTTTAATCTGATGTGGATGCTTGCACCCTCCAAATTTGGAGGATTCTGGGCATCCCATGGAAGTGGGAGAAGGGCAGAGGTGAATGTAGCTTCCAGTAAAACATTTACTGGAAGCCAATTTCACTTCAGAACATCCGGGAAGGCAGCTGAGCGACCAGCAGGATTCCTCTTATTCCAGCTGTGCATGTCGAATCCCTCTGCCCCACTCCCAAATGTCCACCAATGTTCTCTGATCTTGGAGAAGCAGTCAGAGCAGTTTCTTCAGTGTTGGTTTTGATGGCTGTGTGGGTGGTACTCCAAGCACAGGGTCCCACCTCTGACCTCAGTTGACCTCTGACCTGAATTTCTGAAGATGCAGTTGGGATTGTGAAAAAATCTTTGGCCAACTGAATCTTGTCCAGTAGGCACAGGACTGCAGTGCCCAGTACATTGCCTTCAGTGAGAAACCTGAGCACATGTTTAAATCTCTTCCACTGGGTCCATTTGCATTTTAATACGGTTGTTGCTGATTTCACACTTCTGATCCGATATGTTAACCAAAACTCCTTTCTTTTTCAAAATGTGCCTGTTACTTCATGCAAAAAATGAGTCTATTAAGGAAAAGGGCATACAAAGGGCACGTTAGTGAAAATGTTCTGAAATTCATTATACTAGGGAATTTACTAATAAAACGTGTGTGTGTCAGGCATAATTGCATACAGAAATCCACCTATTAGACAAAGTTTGTGGGGCATGATGCTATGGTCTTTAGTCATTAAAGGGAAGCTAGGAAGGAGAGGTACAGTTCCACAAAGGAGTTGCTCTCTCTTCTGGGAAAGACACTTCCATTTCTGTTTTGAAAGGGCTGTTTCTTTCAAAGTCTCTTGAAAGATATGTCAGCTAATGCAGACAGAGTAAAAATCAGGAATAAAATAGAAAAATTATCAGTTCAAAGACTGGACTTTAATAAATATTTTATTAATACTTTGGTTTGAAATATTCCCTATTTCAGTTTGGTTACAGTTACTTATGAATGCTTAAAGTTAATGGGTTAATAAAGGAACAGAAATATGATATAATTATGATTTTTATGGGTTATAGAGGTTAAAGAGAAAATACAAAGGGGATAATAAAGGAGGAACTCTTTCATTTAGGAGAGGTGCTTCAGTTGTATTTCAGTATTACTGCTGGACTCTCTTTCACATTTTCTACAGTGGACAAAAAAGGCATATACTCAGTGGGAAAAAAAAAAAAAAGGCAAAAAGAAGGCATACAGATGTGGATGTTTAAACAAACTAAGGGAAACGTTCAAGTTTGAGATAAACCAAACTTAACATTGAAAAAATCTTTCAAAGTTCAGGACAGACCAAAATTAAAACTGCAAAATGAGAAAGAGACCAAAATAAACAAATAAATTCTTCCCTAACTGAGATAGCTAAACAATTTTGGCTGGCTCATATTCTTTTGTACAGTAGTACATGTAGGACTTGTACAAAATGTTACAGTGTGGTGTGTTCCTAGAAGTTCACCACAGGGTTCCACCTGTGCCTTCTTTCAGAATATCCCCCCTCTTTGTCAATTAGACAGCAAATTTCATGGCTGCATATTTTCCTGTCAAAATACCATGGTTAGCCCTGCAAAAAAAAAAAAAAAAAAAACAAAAAAAACCATTGCTTTTGAGAGCTGTTAATAAATGGGGTGAAATGCAATTTCCCACTTTCCTGAACACCTAAACTCTCAGGAAAGGATGGAAAAGCCACAGGACACTGAAACTGTCAGGTCCACACTTCAGAGCAAAATAATCTCACTGGGGATAATATATTCACCATCCTGTTATACAAGCAAAGAACTTTTGCTTTTTACTTGACAGGTTGCTGTGTGACAGCTGTCAAGTGAGAAGAAAAGTAACAAAATAACCTGCTTGCAGCCTTGCTTGGTCAACGTCGATGGCTGGTACCTAGTGTGCTTTGACAGCACATTTACCACAACATTGAGTGGGCTTGACTTTTCATTTCAATTACCTGCAAGGGTGCACCTGTGAAAGACTGGGTTTAAAATAATTTACAACTATTTGTGAACATTTGTGGTGATGATGACGACGATGAAGAAGAAGAAAAGGTGGAGAACCAGTGACATCTGCTCTAGTGTGCTGCTTGGGTATTTTGAAGGGCTGGCAGTGGCACAGATCACAAAAAGTTCATGACCCAGAAACAAGGAAAAAAGTTGTGGCAGGAACTGGAAAGGAGACTGAGCTAGTGATGGTCACTCCAGAATGCTACTTGAGCATCAGTGGAGTGGTGGCTGCTGCTGGCACAGATAGGCTTGAAAGCATGGCAAGTTTTTTGTCACGCTTTCCAAGTAACTCGCTAGATACTTTGCTGGGCCTACTGGAGAACTGAGAGAGAAGGAAGTGAGGGGCAATCTGCAGTGAATCTGATCATCTGTCACACCGACTGTGGCTTGTTCAGTAAACTGGCTTATCCATAGGATTAGTTGTAATGTTGTGTAGGCTTGATCTTTGTGTAACCTCCATGACAAACAAACCTTTCCTGTTTTCCAATGCAATGTGCGTCCTTTTTCTGTATGAAGATGGATGTTGGCGTATTGTTAATGTAGACTCACTTGTGTGGTCCTTAACATTCGGACAACAGGAATACAACTACTGACGCAGGTTATTTTTCCAAGCCAGTTGATTACATCTCCCCGTCCTGATGTTTGTTCTGTGGCTTTGCTTCTCTGCAAGCAGCCCAGAAATACCATGTGTATCATATGCAATTCATTGCTGCAGTTTGTCTGATTGGGAACAAGCCACTGGGCAAAGAGGTTAGCTATGGAAAAAGACACATTGTGCTGTCTTGACACCACTTTGCCTCAGCACCAAGACACAAGTGTACCTTCTATGAAAGCTTATTTATTTATGTATTTATTTTACCAGAATGAACAAAACAAAAACACAGACACAAGAAGAACAACATATAGCCACACAGTAATGATCAGAGAATCACTGAACTCGTCTTGAAAGTATTACTAATAAAATATATGTATACATGTATACTCACATATGTGGACAGAAATATTCAAAGTTCCTCTTCCGTATCCCTAATATTGGTTGAAGGAGGTTAACCAAATGTTGGAATGGGTGTTGAGATGAAATTGTTATCATCAGCTATTCTCTCACAGGATGCCAGTGGCGAGAGGTCCATAGTCTATGGAGTGGTTGAGGGAGATGATTTGTGTCTCCCTCCCTGTAGTATGAGTCTCTTAGCCCACATGAAGGATCATATAGTCCACTTGCTGTGGCCACAGGATAGGTTCCAGGATGCAGGAATGTGATTCAGCAATACACTGATATCTTCAAATGTGAATGATGTATTCACATCCCAGAAAACCAGCCGTGCAGTGACACATTTTGGAGTGCAGGTGGCACTCATTATGATGGCACTGAGAAAAGTAAAAATATGCAGGCAGCTGTTTCAATTCATACCAGCAGTTTCATCTCTACCAGGAGCAGGTCTTTTGAAATGCTTTTGCGTCTTAATTGCCCATTGAAGATAAGGCTAATCAAAAAAATATTGCATTGCAACAGGGACAGCTCAAAATAGGGATGCACAGATTTGACTTGATCTGTTCTGTCTACATTTCTTTGATTCTTTCTTTTTTTTTGTTCATTCGTTGATCGAAATTGATTTTTAAAGGGATGTATGAAAACTTCACTTGCACTAATATGTTAATGCAAGTGCAAAATTGCAAACTCCCAAAATGTTTTAAAAGGGCGGGTGGGGGCGCACACAGCTGAATCTGCAGAACAAATTCCTAGCAATCCAATCACTTTTGAATCCATTTGCAGATTTCTCTGATAGCCCTATTACAGCTTTATACTGCGGCTGAGAAACCCATACCCCTCCCCAGTCCCCCAACTACTGTGAGAATTATAGCTAAGCCCAAAGGAAAGAAAGAATTTTGATTGGGGTGGAAGATGACAGACCAGTCAGTTTGAACAGTCAGACCAGCAAGAAGTCTGGGATTGAAGGAAGCAGGTCTTGAACTTTATCATATTATTTGGGTCTCTCTCTAAGCAAATAATATTAAGTTGGGGTATATGCAAGGGAACTACAAAGGACCCAGATTACAAAATGAGCAAAAGTCCAGAAGCTTGTTTAAAAGCAAAAAGCTGGGATGACTTTGTAACATTTGTAATGGTGAATGGTGAGCCATGCAGAGGTTATTCTGGTCCCTTCACCAACTCCCAGCTGCTGTTCAACCCTTGAGTTGAGGTTCCTGTGCATCTAAATTCCTATGAGCTTTATTTGCCATGGGTTGTCTATGTACAGCCTCCCTGATGTTACTGTCTTGCTTTTCAAACTCCTCTGCATTAAAAGCAAGACTATGTCTTTCACATTTCTAGATCAGGCATTGTGACTGACCCAGTTTCGAAAGAAACTTGGACAGCAGTATTCTTCTAAGGCTAAAATGCTGTTGGGGTCATGCTTGAACAGATGGTGCTGACTTCCCAGTCTGGTTTACATAAGGAAAAGAATGCAGTGTAGATCTGTATTACATACTTTCAGAAGGTCAAGCTACAGCAGCTTCTGAAATGGATAATCCCAGGCATTCCAGTGGTTTGTAGGAGTGCTGGACTATGCGGTTATAAATTATGTGTATTTGAGAGGTGGATTCTAATCACTTGGTTTCTCATACAAAGCTGGCCCTGTCTGCAGGATGCTATTTGTCATGATTAATCAAAGGCTAATCTATTTTTATTGTCATAACTATTTTCCATAAATACTACTATTCTCCATCTGGCCTGTCACTGGCAAAAGACCAAAAGCAGATTTTTGACCAGACTGCTATATGCTAAAAATGGCTCAGTTCAGACATAGCCAAACCATGGTTTGTGATAACTATAGTTAAGAACACACACTCTGGTATGGATTTCTAGGTCCAAACGAAGCTAACCAGGTTTTAGGGATGCTTGTCTATTTTCATATTTCTTCCATTCAGCACACAGCTTCCATCTTTGAAGGGGAGCACAACTACAGCTTGTCAGTGGTTTGCATGTCAGCCTCAGACCATGGTTTGATGTCCTGGTTTGGCAGCCCCTCACAGACCATGGTTTGTGGGAAGGTTTGTAGTTATGTCCACATGTAGTCCCTGGAAAGGGTTTGTTCAATCACCACTTTTTTCCAATGTCAGTTCTGCTGAGCTGCTTCCCATGCCTGTATTTTACTATGAATGCAATAGCAAGCGATGGTTATTACCATCCCAAACACAATATTTTTGAATGGAATCAGTTCAGCTTTATATCTTCAAATGTTACATGCAGAAGCTGGCTTTCATACAAGAGAAATCTGGATAAGTATAACAAAGGGAATGTTGTCAGTATGCCTAATGGATATCCTTTTTTCCCTACCTCTAGGGGTGCTTTCAGGATGGATAATTGGAAACCGTTTTTAATTCTTATTGGTTTGACCACTCTGTGCTCCACTGATGACCAAATTACTGGTAATGTAATGCTCACACTTCCTTGGTACTGCATGAGATAGGTGGCAAAGTTCTGTGGTCTTTAATGTCAAATAATGATATAATGGGTATAATAATGGGTATAACTCACTGGTACAATTGAATTAATTATTGATTTATGTTAGGTTGTTTCTTTTATCTGACAGAGCTCAGGTATCTTTTTTTTTGTATCTTGTCATTGTGTGCTCATGCTGAAAAATGTCTGGCATTCTGGATTTCTTCAGAATTCGGCCTGACATACACTTCTTCTACTTTCTGCAACTGTCTTGTACAAAAAATCAAATTCTCCTAGCTCAATGATTCCCAATTTTTGGTCTGCAGATGTCGAATGACAACTCCCATCATTCCCAAAACCGCATGGATGATGGATGTTGCACTACAAGGGAATCTATGCTTGGTTACCACTGTCATGGAGAGATGATCATTTTCTCCTTCAAAATAAGCAAATATGAAACATGATAAGAGAGTCTCTAGAGCAGGTTATTATTGTGCCATCAGTCTGCTTCATGCTGGAACTTTGCAGAGGCTCCAAACGTTGTCATCTTACATTCATAGCAATTCCGCATTTTCCTGCTGCTTCTTCCATCTTTTTTTCTTTATTCTGTGCCCAAACTGACAAAAGGCAGAATTTCTGCACAATGCCTTTGGATTGTTAGAAGCATCCCATCTTCTGGAAGTTCCCCATCTTTTGTTTAGTATTTAGGATACAAGTTTTACTGAAAATTGCCATGTCTACCAATGCCACTAGGAGAAAAAGAGATTAATTAATTCTGAATTTGACTGAAATTTATTTTGCAAAACAAACAAGACCCCCCCAATTCCCCCAATGAAACCTAAAACCCTCTGAAATTATAAATTGGATTATGACCATAAGCACTTTTCTGGATTTGTCTGGTCGAGCAGCCTGTTCTTATCATTGGCCAGCCAGGTCTCTCCACAGAAAGCAGGGCATGAAAGCAATGGCGCTCTTGTCATTTGTTTTCAATATTTGTTGCTCTGAGATTTACTACCTCTGTACATGGAGGTTCAGTTTAAGTTATCATCATCAACAGATAGTATAGATGAAACCTTCATGAATGTGATTAAATGCATTTGAAAAAAAGCTACTTTGCATGTTTAGATTGAAAAGTCCTACAACCCTTGGTAATGCACAGTTGGAAATTGTAGGACTTCTCTAGTACTTACTTCATTGTCTAAACATGCACAGGATTGTGGCCTTAAGCTAATAATCATCACCCTATCTAGTGGATGTGAATTCCATAAGTTACATGAAGTTCTTTGTTCTGTCCATCTAGCATTGAATGAAAGTTTTTGCTAAGAATGAAAGAATGTTGTAATGTGTTGTTCCAGCCTGCAGAGAATCTGCTATTGCAGATATTATGTTTCTGGTGGATGGATCTTGGAGTATTGGAAAAGATAATTTTAACAGGGTACAAGATTTCTTATACACCCTTGTGGATAGTTTTGACATCGGAGAGGATAAAATCCAAATTGGACTGATTCAGTACACAGATCTACCCCACCATGAGTTCTTTCTGAACTTGTTCCTTCACAAGGAGGACATCTTAAAGAAAATACAGAATCTGCACTACAAAGGAGGGGGTACTAAAACTGGATTGAGCTTGAAGTTTATGTTGGACAACCAGTTTAATGAAATGGCTGGAAGTTGGCAGAATCAAGGTGTCCCTCAGATTGCAGTAGTGATAACAGATGGGCAAGCACAGGATAATATCAGTGAGCCAGCAGAAAAAGTCAAGCATGCAGGCATCACTGTTTATGCCATAGGCATTAAAGATGCTGTGTTTTCTGAGCTTCAAGAAATTGCAAGTGACCCAGATGAAGCCTATGTCTTTAATGTGGAAGATTTTGCTAGTCTTCAGAGTATATCCCAAAATATTGTTCAAATGCTGTGTACTACTGTAGAGAAAGCCACTCGACAAATCACCCAAGTTTTCCCAAGTTTTACAAGAATATCACTGTGTGTGTGTGTGTGTGTGTGTGTGTGTGTGTGTGAGAGAGAGAGAGAGAGAGAGAGAGAGAGAGAGAGAGAGAGAGAGGTCTTTTCCCTTTCTTTCTGTAAACAGATTTCACTCACAAAAAACTTTTCAGCTTAACATGTAGTGTTAGTGTTTTTCCATGTTTACTTGAGCACCAACAAGTTGGTCCAAAAAATGGTCTTCTTTTGGAGAGAATATGTTTTAGGGCTTTTCTCATGTTCTTCTGGGGCCAGTAAAAATAATAGTAGAAATGGCTCCTTTCAAGTGCACAGAAAAAGCCAGCATAAAGGAACTTTGGGGCATGTCATTCCTAAGAGGCCATAGCTCATAGGAAGTCAAACACTTTGTCTTGCAAACAAGAAGTCCTAGAGTTCAATTATTCCTTAAGCAGGCCTAGAGAGTGGCTGTGTCTGGGAAATCTCTGGGAAAGTCCGATTTCAGAATGCTTTAACTTTGAAGTTCTATATTTAAAAAGTTCACAGTCTGGTTCTCCACCCATGCAGTACAATGAAACAATCATAGTAGAAATATGGTGGGGACTACTCCCTCTCTGGGAGAGTGTGCAAGCAACCATAGGATATTGTGGATTCCCCTCAGTGATGCTTAAAACTTTATCTCAACCAGAAAAGCTCAGAAAAGATCAGGCTGAGTTTCCACAGGATCTTATTAGGAGTGGAGATAAGACACACACCCATTTTGAAGGAAAGGTATACAACTTTATCACAAGATAAAAGCAAGAAAAAAGGCAACCAGGTAAAAGAGATCTTACCACTAGAGTATCTCACCCCCTCTAGGGCTACACACAGAATTACAAGAGTATACAGAAATCATAGACCATTGCAGTAGAATTTCTTATACATGGTTCCTCTATTAGAAAAATGCACTAAGTGCAAACCCATGACAAGCTCAGGTGTTTCCAGTAACAGCAGGTTATACCAGTGCCAAATGCAATATGGAAAAAAAAAAAAGATTTACTCAACAGATATTTAGAGAAGCAGACACAAGGGAAGAGGCAGATGGCAATACACTGGGTTTCAGGGTTTCACCAAACCTGCTTGCAATTGAGACACTGCTATTCTTCAGGTTTCCCTGTGTAAATTGCTTGGGGCACCTTGACTTGGCTCAAGTCCTAGACCTGATCAGCAACTTGAGGAATGCAAACATTACAGAACCGACAACCTCAGATGTTCTTGGCCAGCAGAGTAACATAACTTGGTATACTATGCACAAATAGGCTTAACACGTCCTAAAACTCTGGAAACTCAATAGAAATAACTTGATTTCTTAGGGTCAGGATCTAAGGGTAAACCTTTATACTAGGCCTTCTAAGCCTAGTGAAAAACAAACCACAGGGCACTAGGACATGAAGGCTCATATTACTCTGTTATATGTTCAAAGAAGAATTAATACTGCAGCACATACTCCCTGTTGTTCCAAACCTCATCTAACCTTAAAACTGAGATAATAATGTCATTCCATACCTCCATTCTGTTCCTTAATAAGCAGCTTGGCTCACTCATATAATATCCCTTCTTTCTTGAAGGTTGAATCTGATCATGCCTACAGACAGACCTTATGAACTTCCGTAGGATAAAATGAGTCAGAAAATTGAATTTTAAAGAAAAACTGCATGCATTTTATGGCATACCATATACGAGACCTTCCCCCAATCTGAAACAACAAAGGGCATTCTCAAAGATGCTGCACTAATGCAGAAATTGGATCATATAGTTTAACCCTGGCAAAGTTTATGAAAAAGAAAATATGCAACATGTATCAAACCATAGGAGGTGACTCATCAAAATGTGAACTTGTATAAATAAGTCATCAATTTCTTTTTCTACCTCAAAATCAGCATAAACTATCCTCAAGCAAGCTGATCTCTTCTACTTGGCCAAATTTCAGATCAAGCTTTTGAACCATTTTATGGGCATAACCTGTGGGACCTACTGCCCCCATCAATTTCTAGGTATTACAGCAGAATATGAATAGAGAGCCAGTACAGGGTGGTAGTTAGAGTGTTGAACTGGGGACTTGGAAGATCTACTAGTTTCTGCTTAACTGTGAAACTCACTGGGTGACTTTGGCTCAGTCGCTCATTCTCAGCTTTACTGACCTCACAGTGTTGCTAGGGGAATGAAAAAAAATGGAGTGAAGGAGGCCTATGTAAGCCTCCTCAGGTTCCGTGCAAGAGGAAAAAGGTTGGGAAATAAATGTAGAATAATAATAATAGTTTGACCCACCCTCAACATAGTGTCTTGTAGGTCAAACAGCCATTTCTGGCTTTCATATTCTGCAGCATCTTATCAGCTGTCAGTTCCATAATCAGAGAAGGGAATTTGTGGCATGGTAAGAACATAATCCAAGATTCTCTAGTCCAGTAAGATGTGTTCACTCACAACAGTTAGGACAGTGTTGTGCTGACTGTGCTAAAATCTTCTTCCAATTTCCTAGAAGTTTCCTTCACTCTTTTCATTGAGGTTTTTTGAAAGGTGGACAAGTGTGCTGTGTATGTTTCCTTTCAATTACACATCTCCCCATTGGGCTGCAGTACCCCTTAGTCTGGCTCCCTGCACTTCCTGATCCAAAAAGTACCAAGAGAGGCGGTCTTATCCTGAGCTTGAAATGATGCATGAAAATCCATGGAGTCTCTGGACTGCTGCAGAAGGAACTGTACAGTGAAAGAGAAGACAAGCTCACACACACCACTCAGCCACTTCGTAACCCACAGAAATGTCACTAGAAGTCCCTTCTCCTTTTAGCATATTTTTGAACACAATTTATTTTCTATCAATTTGAATGAAATTGATTGTAAAAAATACAAAAGACATTTTCAGAACAACTGTGAGAACATGAGTGTTTTTTAAAGACTCTAGTCCTATACCTGGGAATAATTCCCACAGAATTCAAGGTGTCTTACTCTGGGTAGATATATATGGGAATCCACTGCTTATCTTAAGATATGTCATTTCCAAATGCTGTTCCTATAATATATAAAACTGCCAGTATTCAGCAGAATTTTAGCCAAGTGTAGAATTTTAGCCAAAATTCAAAATACAAACAGTTCGAGAAGTACAAAACATGATTTTAACATTATACATGAACATAACATCTTTTCCCCACCACAGTTTTCTGGTTTCAGCAAAGAGCTGGTTCTGAGATAGCCAGTGCTTTTTTTTGTCATAGAACTCACCGGAACGGAGTTCCAGCACCTTTTTTTGACAGATTTTCCAAGTTTTAAAAATAACTTTTGAAAATTTGATGTTTGGTCCATGTGGCATGCGTACTTCACACTGGTTGTGATGGCGCTGCTTGGCTTGTGGTGCTGCTTGGCTTGTGATTGGTCGTGTGGTCGTGCGCTGAGTGCTTACTGCAGGCGGCGATGGTTATGTTTCGTTATACAACTGACGTGTGTGGGTGTGTGTACAGCGATTGACTACGTGCAAAAGGTAAATAATTTCATGAGTTCTGGCACCGTTTTTCTTACAAAAAAAGCACTGGACATAGCATTTTCTTTCACAGGAGTACTTTCTGAAAGAACAGCATATTGAAATAGTCATGGATCTCCTCACTTGGGAGCTCTTCACTACAGAGCTATGTAGAAACATCCATGATTAGGATGCTAGTCTGATGTTAGCTGCTGTTTCTTTCTTATGGCTCTCTGTCAGTATCATCCCAGAAGTATTTTCACACAGAGAGAAAGTTACTGTGCTGGAATAGGTTAATGGGAACTATAATTTAATAGCATGTTTCATAAAATGTCAAAGGTCAGTAGCAGGCCTGCCAGCAACTCAGCTTGAGAAATATCAGATTGAAAAGCTCCATAGGACAGTTTCCTGTATTCTCTGGTTTTGCTGCTTGCATGGGAATTAAAAACAGTGGAAGTGCTTAACACATTGCAAGACACAAAATATGTCTGGAATGCCATACTGGGCCTGGTATTAAGACTTCTCTTTTGACCGAATTCCGTCCTCTGCTGTGCAGCCCAGCCAATAGGATTTGGAATTACATTTCTGGTTCTAGCTCAGGGAAATAACTTGTTGGTGCTTCTCTGTGGGATCGGACTAGTCTATGGCCCCTGGTAATTTGTTGGTGTCCCCGCTCCCAAACTCTATGTACAGAAGCTGACTGGGCTTACAGCTGAATTAGCACTGGTAATTCCATTGTAACTGATGGCAGCAACTAACTTAGCGGGCGAAGGAAAGGTTATATGGTACACAGTGGAGGCCTAGAACTGTGTATCAACTGCAGGTTGCAGTCTGAATTCTTAAGGAGACATCTGTGATGCTGAGCCTATTTGGGGGGTAGGGGTCAGGAATGAGGATAGCTTGATTAATGTTTCCGAGCCACCATACTCCTGTGTGGCACACACAGCTTTGTCTTCCAGCATCTCACTGCTCCTGGTATGGTAAGGCATGCCATGGCAGACTAAGGCATTAGGAAAAATTGGTTCCTATTCCTAATGCTGGGACAAGAGGAAATACTGGCCATTTGAGTAGCAAGTTGTGAAGAATGTTATGGCTCTACCCTGACTCATCTGGAATGGGATGCTGCCTTAATAAGGAATAAAGAAGCTCCTGGCTCCAATCATATTTATTTGCATTGCATGAAAATTAAATCCACCTGGGGAGAAAAAAAATCCAGTTGGGTGGACCAAGTAGCTATCAGGTTGTGTTTGAGTTTGAAGCCAGAAAAAACCTCAAACTGAAAAAGACTAACTAATCCCTTCCTTCTCTCTCCCTGCCCTTTTTTAATTTCTTTTTCATTTAGTGTGCCAAAAAGCTACTGTGGCTGACATTGTCTTTTTGGTGGACAGTTCAACCAGCATTGGTCTGGAGAATTTTGAGAAGGTGAAAGATTTCCTCTACACTCTGATTTCCAGCTTTTATATAGGCCATGACCAGATTAGAATTGGGCTGGCCCAATATAGTGATATCATCTTTCCTGAGTTTATGCTAAACAAATACTCTTCAAAAGATATCATTTTGGAACACATAAAGCATTTGACTTTCCGAGGAGGAAGCTCTTACACAGGGGCTGCTTTGGATTTTATCACCACAGACTATTTTATTGAAAGTGCTGGGAGCAGAGCTCAGAAGAACATTCCTCAAATGGTCATTCTGTTCACAGATGGAGGAGCTACTGATGAAGTCAAGCTTCCAGCTAGCAAACTAAGGGCAAAGGGGATCTCAATTTATGTGGTGGGAGTTGATATCCAGAACACTACTGAGCTCAAGGAAATGGCCAGCAAGCCGTTTAATAAGTTTCTGTTTACTATTGACAATTTTGATCTTCTACAGGATCTTACTAGTAGTCTTCTCCAAACAGTTTGTTTTGATGTGAAAAGCCAGATTGAAGGTAAGTAAAATTGCTGACCTGGGGTGACAAGTGTACCAGGCAATGCTTTGCTGCTTTTCCAGTGTTAAATTTACTACAAGGATGTGCTTTCTCTTATTTTTCTGAGTGATATTGTATTAGCTGTATTAGAAGACTAAAAGGGAACCTGACATATAAATTACCTGGAAATAAATTCAAGGATTAGATCATACAGTTTTTTAAAAGTTGAATTTGTGCACAAGAAAATCAAGACCGGAGGTTCACAATCATTAATTTAAGACTCAATCCTGCATACATTTAGACAGAAAAAGATCTTACCCTGCTCAGCATTCCTGCATCTACCAGGCCATATTCCCCTGTGACCAAGTTGGTCTATCTAAAGATGCACAGGATTGCACCCTTACTCATGTGGCCTACTTTACTTTTAAGTCATAGTACGGGGTGGACAAACTTGCTCAACAGAAGAGCCACATGTGGTAAATGTCAGAGGTTTGACAAGCGGGTGCCTTTGGGCAGTGGTGGCAGGTGGCTAGTGGGCACCCATGAGTGTCCATGGCAACAAGTGGCAAGCCACAAAATCAACACAAGAGCTGCATGCAGCTCCCGAGCCTCAGTTTGGCCACCCCTGCCATAGTAGTTGACCAAAGCTACAATGTACATTCAGGTAGAACAATGCCCTACAACTCCCAGCGTCCCTCCAGGCAACCAGCTGGCTGAGGCATGCTGGGAATTGATCTTTTCTGCCTAAGTATGCATATGATTGTACCCTAAGTTTTCTTTCTTTTAATTATCATTTCAACCTTGTAAGACAGGGCCTCTTAATTTTCACTGCACAGGGGAGAAGCTGAGGCAGTGAGAGACAGATTTGTGCCCCTTCCCCCCAAAAACCAAGTCAGAATTTAAATCCAGGCCTTAAATATTAAAGCTGCTCCACAAAATCTCCGACCTGAATTAATTCAAATTCAGGCTAAGGGTGCCTCAAAGGGCCAAACTAAACATATTGTAGGTGATCTATAAATGCCTCTTCCAAAGTATTTTTCTTGGGTTAAAAGCAGCTGTGGCTGGGACATGGCTTTTGGATTATGGCTCTGGTGTTGAGGGAATGAGGATTTCCCATTCTCCCTTATGCTGTTTCTCAGATTTAAACTGTGTACACTGTAGCTACTATTAACTGAAGTAGAGTTGGGTGGGGAGGAGACTTATCTTTTGCATGTCTTTTTCCTCCCCAACTTTAATAACTGATTGCAGGGAGGCAGTTGCATCAGAAAAACATTTACAGTATTGGAAATGGTTGCCACCATGGCTGCCACCATGGCCCCAAATCAAGTTCCTTCCCCATGGCTGCTTTTAAGTGAAGAAAAGGCCTAGCTTGTCTCGAATTGTCTCTTGACTGTCAATTCTGAATGGACAACAAAGGACAGATCCACAATTGATCCATAATTGATCTTCTCATAAATTCTCAGAAATATCCAGTGTCAGTGAGTATATGGAAAAGGAAGTGCTCTAGCATAGACTTTTGCTTTGTCATAAAACAAAGACCAGGTTCTGCTGTTGTGCTTCAATGGCTCGTATCTCAGCAAAAAGTGCTTCAGAACAACACAGAGGGATTGCCTGAATAGCATCTCTGTATTAAAAGCAAAGTCCATACTCATTTTTAAGGTGTTCTTGGCCGTAGAAGTCTAGAAGGTTGGTATGGCTGGAAGGATGGAATGTTGATAGCTGCAAAGGGAATATGAAGGGATCCACCACAGGAACCAGCTGTGGGTGGGCTACAGGAACAGATAGCATTCCAGAGGAAGCAAGGAAAGTGCAAACTAGGATCCAAATATTTATTTGTTTAAAACACCATGAAGAACAAAGTTGAAACAGATCATGCTGACAGTAATAAGTAAAGTTATTGTAAAAATACTCAAGCTTTCAAATAGTCACAACTGATGCAAATTTAAAGGAGGTCATATTTTCCATTGCTGTATTCCCTTGGAACTCCTCTGGAAGGTTGCTTGTCCATCTGGCCGTCTGTCTTTCTTTTCTGATGAGAGTAGCCAGGAAGAGTAGCTTCTCTTCCATGTGTGGGAGAATCTCTGCCTTCCCTACTACTCTTCCAGTGCCAGGAAGAGCAGTCGTTCTTTTTGCTGCAGCTAGACTCTCCATCACATCCCTCTGATTAGAGATAAGGGTGGACTTGGCTTTGTTTGTGCAGCAGGTGCTTTCCTACTTTCTCCCTCCAGCCATTCCCACACTTACAAATGTCAGTTTAATGCAACTTAGTCACCTTTACAGTAGGTTCAAATGATAAACATTACTTCTGATAGAACTACTTCGGGCATACTCCATCACTTCCTGAGTCATCCTTTAATAACTATCAAGATGTTTAGGAATGGATGAGCCATCAGCTTGCAATGCCTATAGCCCGTCTTTGGGTCACAGGAGGTAGGACTAGACAGATACCTCTTTGGATGATGTAGGCCCTTGTTCTGATGATGCTTACTTTTGATAATGTAGCTAGCCAGCACTCTAAATGGCCTTGATTTTATTTCAAGTTTAAGTCCTTAATCTGATCAAAGAGCTGTTTATCCTTTTAGGACTGCCATTGTGTTTGCTTTTAGTCTGAGGAGCACAAAAATAATGTGATGGTATTTGTTAATTGCATTGCAGCACTGTGTGTGCAACCTCCCCGCACTGCAAGTACAATTTAACCAAATGAAAATGCACTAAGTAAATAATTATTTCCATGAAAATAAGTGCTTATTTATTTATTTAGGAGACTTCTATGCCGCCCCATTCGCCAAAGCTTTGGGGCGGCTCACAACCATAAATAAACTTCAAAATAGAATAATATAAATTAACAATATAAATTAAGTCGCCCTGGCCAAAGAATAAAATGAATAAATAATATTAACAATTAAAATAACATTTGAATAAAAAGGTCTTCGCCTGGCACCAAAAAACAAATAATGACGGTGCCAGGCGGACCTCTCTGGGGAGCGCATTCCATAGATTGGGCGCCACCGCAGAGGAAGCCCTCCTCCACTTACCCTCCTAATTTCCTTCACGGAGGGTTCCCAGAGAAGGGCCTCTCCCACAGATCTCAAGGGGCGGGCGGGCATATATGGACGTAAGCACTCCTTCAGGTAACCAGGACCCAAACCGTTAAGGGCTTTATAGGTCATCACCAACACCTTGAATTGGGCCCGGACTTCAATGGGAAGCCAGTGAAGCTGACGGAGGGCTGGAGTCATGTGAACATAACGCCCAGTCCCCGTCAGCAGCCTGGCAGCTCTATTTTGAACCAATTGAAGTATCCGGACTGTCTTCAAGGGTAGCCCCACGTAGAGCGTGTTACAGAAGTCAAGTCGGGAAGTCATCAACGCGTATGTCACTGTCGCCAGGCAGTCGTACTCCAGGTAGGGGCGCAGCTGATGGATCAGCCGAAGCTGAAAGAAAGCACTCCTTGCCACCGCTGTCACCTGAGCTTCCAGTGAAAGCTCTGGGTTGAGGAGCACTCCCAAGCTGTGAACCTTGTCCCTAAGAGGGAGTGCAACCCCATTCAGGACTAGGTTCAATTCACCCTCCCCGAAGCCCGATCTGCCAACCAACAGGACCTCTGTCTTGTCTGGATTGAGCTTCAGTTTATTGGCCCTCATCCAGCCCATTACCTCGGCCAGGCACCGGTTCAGCACAGCCACTGCCTCACCTGGATTGGTGGAAAACGAGAGGTAGAGCTGGGTATCATCAGCATACTGGTGATTCCGCAGCCCACACCTCCTGATGACCTCTCCCAGCGGTTTCATGTAGACATTAAACAACAAAGGGGACAAAATGGATCCCTGCGGTACTCCATGGCATAGCTGCCATGGCGCAGAGCCATAGTCCCCCAGCACCACCTTCTGGAATCGGCCATTGAGATAGAAACGGAACCACTGCAAAGCAGTGCCTCCGACCCCCAATCCCGCTAGCCTATCCAGAAGGATACCATGGTCGATGCTATCGAAAGCCGCTGAGAGGTCCAGAAGAACCAACAGGAATGCACTCCCCCTGTCCTTTTCCCTGCACAGGTCAGGGAGAAGGGTGTTCAAAAGGTGTTATAATTAAAATATAGGCTGTATCCTATATTGCTTTGTCTTTAAAAATATATACTATTTATTTTTCCTCTAGTATTTACAAAGCACTATGCTGATGTCATTTTCCTCTTGGACTCGTCTGATTCAATGGGATCCTTCAACTTCAAAAAGGCAAAAGAATTTGTTGCCAAAAATGTTGAACAACTAGATATTGGAGCTGATAAGTACCGGGTTGGCCTTGCACAATACAGTGGAGAAGGAAGAATAGAATTTTTTCTGAATACATATGAGAGGAAAGAAGACATTCTGAACCACATTCAGAGCAGCACTGAATTTATGGGCGGCAATGTGTGGACTGGAGCAGCCCTGCGCTTTCTGCGTGAAGTCTATTTTACTGAGGAAGCAGGAAGCCGATTCAGCCAAGGAGTCCCACAGTTTACAGTAGTTGTCACCTCAGCTACATTGGAGGATGATTTTAAGGAAGCTGAAGAAGAACTAAAAGAAATGGGAGTAAATGTTGTAACCGTTGACATTTTAGGTTCAGACATGAAACAAATGGGGGCAGCTGAAATTCCTGGCATTGGTGTTCAAACCAGTGAAGTGGAGATCGATCTGTTCCAGAAAAACATAGTAGACATTTTGGAAGTACCAGTTCAGCAACAGTATTACGATGCCATAGAGGCACAAGTGCCAGCAGGTATAATTACATCACTAGAGACATGATTGCTCATTAAGAGTTCAATCTATTGCCATCTGTACCTCGCTCCAAGTATCCAGTGCATGATGTGAGGTGCACTAATTTACACTGCTCTATACTTTTCCCATTGTACTTCATCTAAAAGGTCATTTTCTAGATGATAATGGTAGTGGTAATAACTATGGATAATTTTCAGGGAGCAAGTTCTCCATGAATTCAGTGAATACTCCTCACTGTGACAATGTGACTTTTCCGCAATTGAATTTTTCTTGAACTAGAATGTCACTGATTCTCAAAAGGGCCATAATATAGTCAGTATCTTCCTTAATGACCAAAGGCATTGTAAGGAGTGCTACTGGTCTGGCTTTAGTTACGCTGGCACAGTTCATAAATATTCTAATATCCATGGACTACTTTAAGTCAGCTATGTGACTGGTCTGGATCATAATGTTAACATTGTTATGACTGACCTTCTCTTTAGCTTCTGCATAGCAGGATAGGAAATGCTGCTTGTGCAGTGCTCAGATCTCAGTTCTGTGATGAAACTGGAAGTATCTGCAACAGCTTATTAGCAGACTGACAGCCTTGTTTAGAAAAACCCAGTGGAAGATAGTGTAAATTGTCCAGTTCTCCACTTTCCACCAGTCCTCCAGGATACCAAACACCCACCCAGGGTGGTTGACAGTGGGGCCACCCTTCACCAGCAGGGCAGTTTCTCCACCTCTCCACGCTTTGCACATTGCCCTTGCTATTACTGTTTGGATGGATGGCTATGCTTCAATAGTTAAATATTCAGACCAAAACCCTAAACACATTTACCTGGGAATAAATCCTGCTGCATTATCTTCTTAGTACTGATCACTTCTAGGATGATGCTGTCCCCATTTCTTAAAATTTATTTCTAACTTTGTAATCTGCTTATTTTGTGTACAGCTTGCTCCAGTGCCTCTGTGGCAGACATCGTGTTTCTTGTGGATGAATCCAGTCGGATTGGTCAAGGGAATTTTCATCTGATCAGGGTTTTTTTGCTCACGGTTATCAGTGCTCTGGATATTGCACCAGATAATGTTCGAGTTGCTTTAGTCCTCTACAGTGACAAACCAAGATTAGAGTTCAGCCTGGATACATTTGAAGATAAATCAGAGATTCTGAACTATGTGAAAAGACTGCCATATCGTGGGGGCCAAGCATACATGGGTGCAGCACTAGATTTCCTAAGCAAAAAGGTGTTTACCAAAGCAGCAGGGAGCAGGAAGAATCAAGGGGTGCAGCAGCTGGCAGTAGTAATAACGGATGGCCAGTCACAAGATAATTTCACTGAAATTGCATCCAACCTTCGACGTAGTGGTGTTACAGTGTATGCTTTGGGCATCCAAAATATCTCAGACAACAGTCAGCTACACAAAATTGCATCTTATCCACCCAGAAAACATGTCACCAACTTGGGATCTTTTTTGCAGCTATCAAACTTAAAGTGGAGGATCAAGAAAAGGCTTTGTAATGAGATAGTTACTCAGGCATTTGCCACTCCAGTGCAATTCCGCATCCTGAAGGAAGGTAAAAGACAGAACTGTGTCATGACCAGTCCTTAAAGCTTGTGCAAATATAAAGATACTCAGTGAATGTCTGGGAAGTTTCCTGGACTAACTGCTGGGGTATCCACATACATGCACAAACACAAACATTACCGGTTAGAGTAGAACTGGATGAGGGACAGGGTAATTGTGAATGAGAGGCATCTGAATCACAGTGGGTAGACCATCATACATAAGCCTCTCCACCTTGATTCTAGTTAAGCTCACTCAAGGACTGGTTGCCTGCTTTCCTCTTTCCTCCTCCTGGTCAGAGAAAAGCCCTTTAAAAGACCTGCTTTTGGAAACAGAAGGGGGATAACAAATGCAGAAGGCCCTTTCAGCTGGAAAAGGCACTCTTTTCTGCAGGCTATGATGGAGCTTATAGTCCAGCCCATTATCCTGGTGCAGGGATAGAAAGCAATGCCTGTCTCCTACAGCCAGGAGAGCAAGTATGGTGGGGCTTCTCTTGTCTGCTGCAGATGATTCTGCAACCAGAGGGCACCTTCTCTGGGCCTGTTTTTTTCCCACTGAGGAGGGGGCAGGAGAAGCAGGTGACAGTGAGCTGACTGGCAATAGTCCCATGCAAAGACTTCTAGTGAACAGCTGCCAGAGGAGATGCAAACATTTGCCATTAACTTCTGCAGGGTGCAATTGGTTCTGGGCTCAAGCACTTTTGTATTCACCCTTCACTAAATCAGTTGTTACAGTGGTGCGAATCATATATTACAGTGAGAGTAGTGTGAACTTGTTATGAAGTAAGAAAGTGGAGAGTGCTGAATTGTGTTGCTCCTGCCCTCCCTTTCCAGGCTGCTTCTCTTGGTTAGCTTTTTCTTTGGTGGGGACTGAAGACTGGCAATAGTTCTCACCAGAAGAAAGACCTCTGAAGATAAATAATTTTAGGGGCCAAAGCCTGATCCAAGAAGGGCCCAGCACCCCCTTCCCTGCTCATGTTGCTTGTTTGTATATTTATTTATTTATTTAGGATATTTGTAGCCCATCCATCACTTTAATCTCTGGACAGCTCGTTACACTTGTTCCCATTCCAGCATATAGGAAATGGATTTGACTGGCATTGGAACATGTCCCCCATTTTTGCTCTAATGTTTCCATGCCCACTGTGTCGAATGATCACTTGGCAGATGACTGTCTGCTGTGAATTCACCTGCTGCTCTAGGACATTAAGAAAAAAGCCCTACAACTCCCAACATGCCCCACCCATGGCTGGCCAGGGAATGCTGGGAGTTATAGGAACATTTTCCTGCCTGAACATCAAATGCTTGAACCTTCAGTAACATTCTCTTTCTGTTTGTTGGAATCAAACCCTTTTTGAGCACCCCATCTTCTCTTCTCTTTTCTGATTTATTAGGCTGTAAGGAAACTGAGCAAGCAGACATTTATTTCTTGATTGATGGGTCAGGCAGCATCTACCCAAATCCCTTTAATGACATGAAAGTCTTCATGAATGAACTGATCAGCATGTTCCAGGTTGGCACCAACAGAGTTCGTTTTGGGGTGGTTCAGTATGGGAGTAATCCCCAAACCGAGTTCATGATTAACCAGTACAACACAGTGCTGCAGTTAAAGGAGGCCATCAAGGTGATCCGGCAGATTGGTGGTGGCACCAGAACTGGGGATGCTTTAAAATACATGCTGAGCCTTTTTAAAAGGGCGACCAGGGAAAATGTTCCCCAGTTCCTCATCATCATTACAGATGGACAATCCGAAGACAAGGTGATCCAAGCAGCAGAGGAACTGCGAAAGGAAAATATTGTTATATATGCCATTGGTGTCAAGGATGCTAACAAAACAGAATTGGAAGATATAGCAGGGACTAAAGACAGGGTGTTTTTTGTGAATGAGTTTGATTCCCTGAAGACCATCAAACATGAGATTGTGCAGGAGATCTGCTCCCCTGAGGGTAAGGTGTTTTCCTAAATCAGAGTTTCTCAAACTTTGTAATAGCATGTTTTCTGATGGTTCCATTTCTGTATGCAAATATTGCTTGCATTAAATTAATGGCCCCAGTGGCATTTTGTTTCTTCACAAGTTATGTATCAGTTTCCAGCATTCTGACTCAAGGGAATTCATGTCAACATGAATCTCAGTTGTCATCCCAGTTATGACCATTTCTAGGCAGGAGTTATAACATGAGGATTATAGCAGCCAAGGCTTTATCTGCCATAATATGGCTGCTTTGTGCACACAGAGAAATTCCAACTGTGAGAGTACATTCAGATAAGTGATTGTCCCAAGTGCATTCACTCTGGTATAGTCTCCTGATGATGGTATCAGATGCTATTATGAAACATTTGAATTTGTGCTTTGTGTATGTGGATCAAGGCCAGAGTATGCGTAAGAAATTTTGATGTGGCTGTATGATGCAAGGAGCAAATTAGTTGTGCTGGGGCATACCTTGGGGTACTGCATGTTATTATTTGCATTTATTTCAGTACTGTGCAAATACTATCTTTCATTAAGCATTTAGCATCGGTCACAGGATGCATGACATATTTTCTGTATGTAAGTGAACCCTCAGTGAGTTTTGTACAATTTCTACCTTCCTAGACCAGGAGAGGAAGGAACTAGGACCTGATCATACATTTTCTTAAGTTGGTCTCTTGGCCAAACATAATGTCATAGAAAAAGTCTCCACCAGTTTTCAGCATTGTCAGTAGGCTTGACAGTAGAGAAATGTTACTGTCTTTCATATTATAGTTAATATGATATAATATAGTTAATAGTAGCTATCTCCCTGGCTCAGCCAAGATACAAAATCTAGGGCTATAGTCCTATAGTCACTTACTTAGGAGTAAGCTCCCAGTGAACATATTGGGACTTACATTTGAGTAAACATGCACAGTTGGAAAGGGGGTCTTGCACTTGGTTTACTACAAGGCCAGATCTTGTTAGCAACGGTTACTTCTTGTTTTGCTATTAACTCACTTTGGATGGGACATCCTCCAAACCCATGGAATATTTTTTTCAGGATAACTTTGCTGCATAAAGAGAACTAAGCAAAGCTTTTAGTCTTCTGCTTAGACAGTTTCAGAAGAAACAGGTTGTGGTTTGGCAAGCCACGAAGTACAGCTGCATTTCTTACAATAATACTGCAATATAGCTAAGAATACACTTTAGATACAGTATAATTTAATTAACTTCAGTGACACTGATCTTGTGCTAAGTCTAATGGAGTCATCTGTCAGAAGAAGAAATGGTTAAGTGTGACCTTGTTAAAACAGTGTATATAGATTCATGATACTTTGGAAAAATAGGTTGGTAAGTAGTTTGCCAGAGGCAAAAGTTGAGTGGGCAGCTTATTAGAACTATACCCCAGGAGAAACCTGTAATCTTTAAGAATATGTGTTTTCGTAATCGTCCACTGATCCAGTTGCCATGGAAGAATAGTCTAAAATGTAATTGACTGTGTTCTTAGCTATATTGAGTGTTGAGACTGACATTAAGATCCTGTTAAGCAACTATGAGTGCTGCAAATGGTAAAAGGCAGCTGTTCATTGGCGTGGCCTTGGCCTCCAAAAGGCATCTGTAATATATTGCTTTATTAATCTTCCAAAAGATGCTTGAGCTTTGTTGAATGTCTGAGGCATGCATAAGGAACCCCAGACCTGGGGGCTAAATCTAGCCCTTCAGGGTTCTTAAAGGGTCCCAAGCACCAATAGTTTGCTTCCTGACTTTTGCACAGGGTTTTTTCCCCTCTCTAGAAAGCTCTAAAAGACTGAAATAACTCTCCCAAGGCTTAGCTGCTGACAGTAAGAACTTTATGCTATAATACTCCATGAAGTTTGCATTATTTTGAAACACACCTTTGCCTTTGACCTCATGGACCACTGGAATGTTCCTTCTGAGAGCTTCTCTGAAACACAATTTTTCATCCCTGGTATAAGGGAACCATGTTCAACAGCCACAAAGCATTCTTTTCTGTGCATCTTTGCAAACCAAATCTAGCATGTAGACTGCATTGCTAAAAGAGTGCTCTCACAACAGCTTCACCTACTGTCTAAACTCACATGTAGTAAGAGGCCACACTTGCCGCTTTCTGAAACTTGACATGACCAAGTGGCTTGGCATGATCATATGAATGCTTTCCCAGGATTGTCCACTATATGTTGAAAGCAAGTTCTCTGTGTGATGTACATGCAACTGCCTCAGCATATGCTGGGGGAAGACACTATTTCAGCTCTTCCCAACTTGGTGCCCTCTAGATGTTTTGGACGTCAACTCCCATCCCATCCCATCCCGTCAGGGCCAGTCAAGGTCAGGATGCTGGACACATCTGAACAGAAGCTGGTTGGGGAAGGTTGCACCATATGCTGGGACACATGCCCATGTGTCCTTTGACTAACATGTGTCTGAGATAATTTGTCAAGAATTCTGCCACAAGATTTATAGCAGAAATTATAGAGAACTGAGGTACTAATATTTTCAGTAATGCTAATAGCCAATGGATTGAACATCAAATTATTGTCCAATATTTTATGCATTTGCCAAACAAATCCTAACTCCTACACAAAGTATGCAGCATGGCTATTTGTTTCAGATTGGAGTGGAAATTAGAAACAATCTGAATTCTTTCATATCGGAGTGGAAATCATTAATTTTGTATTCTCTGAGGGAAACTGGGAAGAAATTCTGTTTTGTTTAAACAACGGAAGCTCAGAAATGCAAAGCTGAGCCACAGTCCAGGTTCCGGACAAACTCTATTAATTTCCCTAAAGTCACAGAAATATTCCTTTGTTGTCAAGGTGCAGCTCAACATGTAAACAACCCACACATTCACGAGCAATAAAACTAAAGTCCATTATTGCTACTTGTCTACAAGATTTACAACTCTATAGATAAGCTCTTCTGTTGAGGTCTTTGGAATGCTGATGTTAATCCTCTAGTGGTGTCTCTCCCCGAGCCCACGTGGGACTAGCTGTCCTGGTCACGCCTTTGTTCCCTCTGGCGTAACAAGGCCTGCCTTTGCTCGTACCTCCTCAGAATTCCACGATTGGTTGCTAGGGAAAAGTCTATTACGCCCCCTGCGTCTCCTGTGTCATGTTCAGGAAGTTCAGCAGCCTGCTCTGACTCCTTCTGAGTAGAACTTCTAGTGTCTTTTCCCTCAGGGCTCTCTTGCTTTGATGTGGGCTCGGGTGTTTGCTCAATGGGCAGGGAGTCAGGGGGAGGTGCAGCTTTCTGCTCAGCCACCCCCAAGCTAGGTTGCGGGGTTGGCTTTTGGATACAAGGTCCCAAGCACAAGACCTCCCCGTGAGGTGCTGTCTCTGTCGGGGCTTCAGGCACAACACTTGTCCACTTTATCAAACAAAGAATATTAGTCTGTGTATATTGATGAAAAGACACTGTTGAACTTAATGATCTGGACCATATGAGTACTCTATTACTATGATTAATTATTAATTAATCATCTTTGTTTAGCACTTTTGCCCATCTCCCTCTCTTTCATTTTCAGCCTGTAAAAACTTGAAAGCTGACATTATTTTGCTAATCGATACTTCGGAAAGTATGAATCGAGTTCAGTTTAACCAGACACTGGGATTCATTCATTCGATCGTCAATATGTCTGATGTTGGGGTTGATAAGGTACAGATAGGCCTGCTCCAGTTCAGCTCGAATCCAAAAGAAGAGTTTCCACTCAAGAGACACAACAACAAGGCTGACCTGAGGAAAGCTATATCTGAAATGAAGCAGCTTAAAGAAGGAACGAAGACTGGGAAAGCGCTAGACTTTGCCTCTCCTTACTTTGATGAATCCAAAGGAGGGCGCTCAGGAGTAAACCAGTATTTGATAGTGGTCACAGATGGTGAATCTGATGATGAAGTGGAAAGACCTGCCAAATCTCTTAGGAACAAAGGAGTTGTAATATTTGCCATTGGAATATCAAAAGCAAACACATCCCAGCTGAGGGAGATTGCTGGTAGTCAGGATAAAGTGTATTCTGAGGATGATTTTGTTTCCCTCATGCCTTTGGACAAGAAAATATTCTTTAGAATTTGCAACCCTGAGGAAGGTAAGTGGCTGCAGCAAAACCATGAAGCTCTCTACTTCAGGAGGGTTTGTCTCATTTACTCCCTGCTTTCTATTGTCTAGCCAAGACTTTTAAAAACTTGAAGCAGGTATTGTAAGGGCTGGTTCTACCATTGGGGAGCAGGAGCAAGGTGCTAGGAGTGCAAAGCTCAGTATACCACAGGATTTGCATCCCCTAAAAGAGCCTGTTTCCCTGAAGTACATTGTCCCTTTTGCCAGTGTTGAAATATGATTTTAATGTCAATCCAGTTGGCTTTTATATCTGGAATGAGGAAGGCATCATCTTGTCTTCTGCCTCAGGAAGCAAATTTTCGAGCTCTTTTCTAATCTACCTTCCATGTTATGCCACTTTTTAAAAAGACTTTTTAAAAAAGATGCTAATTAATAGTTAACAAGGTAAAAAAACAGGTAATGATAAAAACCCATGTATAACAGTGTTACTTTCTTCTCTCGACTGCAGTGTGCAAACGAACTGAACTTGCTGATATCATCTTCGTAGTGCATGGATCAAGAGACATTACAGAACTGCAGTTCAAGAGTATACAGTGGCTCATGGAAGCTATTGTAAATAACTCATTGGTGGGACAAGAAAATGTTCAGTTTGGCGCAGTTGTCTATAGCAATACTCCCAAAGAGGAGTTCCCACTGAATAGGTATTCTACGAAGTTGCAAGTCAGGGAAGCCATCTCTAAGCTGACACCTTTAAGAGGGCCCACCTTCACAGCAAGGGCTTTGAATTTTGCAAGGAAAAGGTTTGGGGAAGCTCACAGTGGTCGAACATCACTTCCTGGTGTCACACGGATGATTGTGCTCATCACTGATGAACCAACTACAGCAGCAGATAGACCCCATCTTCCAGCAGCAGTACAGGCATTGAATCAGGAAGGTATCCATATCATTGCCATTGGGATGCATGATGCCAGTAGAACAGAACTTGAAGAAATTGGTGGTGACAAAAGAAGTTCGTTTTTTGCTCCAAGCTACAATCAGCTGGAAGGATTACACAAAACTGTTACTCAAGTTATATGTGATGGATCAAAGCCAGGTAACTAGAACCCTTGAAATGCACAGACTTAATTTATCTGTAGTGTTCATAGCATTTCTGTTACTTCCTTAGCCCACAACACATGTCTGTAATCCATGTCTGAGCTTGGTGAGTGAGCCCTTCAGGAATAACAGATGAATGGAGCTAATGGCAGGGAAATTTCTTCCCTCTGCAGACTGTTGTCCCTTTGGTAGAGGTGGCTCAGAAAAGTAGCACTTTAGCCAAATTTACTGGGGCTTTCATGCATAACTTAGTCTGGTCTAGATAGTGGAGGGTCTGCATAAGGAGCTGAGATGAGAAAACAGAGCTGAGGGTTCTGAGCTTAACCTAGAAAAAGAATGTCTTAAGAAACAATCCAAGACAAAATCATCATGGTTGAAAAGACTGAATTACAGAAACATACCTCAGAATGGAATGGAGGGAGAACAAGGGAACCCCAGTATTTCTGAGGTCACTCAGAAAGCAGATTTATTGACCCTGCCATCCCTTCAAGCAGGAAACAGTTGATTTTTCAATATGATGTACAGGCAATGAAATATCTATTTGGCTCTTCACTACACTAGCAAAAGGACATGAAGTGATCAAGTGGGGGCAGGACCTTTCTCCTGCAGTGTTGCAACTCACTTGATGTAAAGCCATATTAGCATAATGCATGAAACTCATTGAAAGCTGTACAGCTGCTTAAGCCATGTGAAGTTGCTGACAGCAAGTAAGAACATTGGTTCCTCTAGGCCAGTGTGGCCAGCTCTGACTGGCAGCACTCTAAGATCTCAGAGACAGGCTTATCCAGCTTTGCTACCTAAAATCCTTTAACGTAGCAATGTGGGGATTTGGCTTGGACAACGTACATGTAAAGCATATGCTCTGCTACACCCATCCTGTGCTAGATTGTGCAGGGCTGAACAGTGATCGCATGCACATTTTGGCAGCATGAGAACTTGGTACTTCTCACAGTATGGTAAGTACAAGGTATAGAAGTACAACTGTACTAATTCACCAGATTTCTCTCTCAGAAAGGAGGTAATCTTGAGTGGGTCATCAGATATATCTGTAGACACAGATACAACACAATCCACCCCATGTCACATCACAACTCAGAGGCATATATGATGACTATGTGAGCCAGCCCATGGAACTGGATTGGACAACTTGTGGTCCTCCAGATGTTTTGATTAACAACAGCCACAATCCATCCCCATGGACTATGCTAGCCAGCCCTGATGAGAGCTGCAGGCAAAATGAAAGTTGGGAGGGGGACTTTTTTTTAAGAAGGTGCTCCAACAAGCTGGCCTAAACTCATAGATAGTCAAGTTAGATAATGCATTCATTTTCTATTAGGATACAACTGGTGTTTAATATAAAGAGACTGCAGCTGGAACAAAGCCATTTAAATTGACTTTCAGGTTTCTGATGTTTGCTTGTTAAGGATAAACCCCAATTGCCTTTGTCACTAGAGAGGATGAGGAAATCTAAAGGAAACTCAACATGTCAAAGATTTCAGTCTTCAAATCACATAGCTGAAAAAACACAAAAGGGGGAACCACATGGCACCCTATAGCCTGACATGCAGTATGGTGTAATCCTGTCTCCTCCAACCTGGTGCCCTCCAGATGTGTTGGGTTCCAACTCCTATCATCATCAGCCAACAAGGCAATTGACTGTGCTGGTTGTGGATGATGGAAGTTTTAGTCCAACACACCAGGTTACAGAGGTCCTGGACAACTTCCCTGGACTAGAGTCCACAGCCATGCACTATAAAATGATTGTCTTTAAGGTTCTGCAAGTCTGCTTTTGTTGCTTCTTATTTCAAAACAGAATATTACATCTACCACTTTGGAGATACTTATTAGGCAACATTCCTACTGAATTCTGTAGGATTCTTCTCTCCTAATTACTTGACCTCCACAGAACTAAGTTTCATGGAGCTTAATGGAACTTATTTCACGGCATGTATTAGAATATCAGCCTTAGGATGCAATCCTATCCATATTTAGACAGGGAAAAGTTCTACAACTCCCAGCATGCCTAGCTAGAGTTTCTGCCTCAATTTGCACAGGATTGCACAATAAGCATTTTAAGGATCCATTCTTACACACCCATCTTACTGAATAAACATGGTCTTCATAGTAAAGTGGATGTTTCTTTTTGCAGTTTGTGGAACTCAAATGGCAGACCTTGTGTTTCTGATTGATGGCTCAGGAAGCATATCAGATCATGACTTTGCCACTATGAAGACATTCATGAAGGAAATTGTAGACAGCTTCATCATTGCTCAGGACAAAGTCCGGATTGGGGTGGCCCAGTTTGGCAAAAATCCCAAGGAAGAATTTTATCTCAACACATTCTATACTGATGTGGCCATAAAGGGAAAGATTGACACCATTTCCCAGTTAAAAGGTTCGACCTTCACTGGCAATGCATTGAGGTTTGTCAGGAGATTTTTTGAGCCTGCCAATGGGGGCCGTAAGAACAAAGATGTACTCCAGGCTCTAATTGTCATCACCGATGGGAAGTCCAATGATTCTGTGACTGAGGCAGCCATTGCTCTAAGAAGAGATGGGATCCAAGTGTTTGCGATAGGAATAGCAACTCCAAACAACTTTGAGCTCCTTCAGATTGCTGGTGATGCCAAAAGAGTATATGTGGTGGAAACCTTTAACATGTTGGAAATTATTGAAAGGAAGCTTGTCACTGAGATCTGTGATTCTGGAGATCGCCCTAGACAGGGTAAGTCTTAGCAATTTCTTTCTTTTTAAAAATCTGTACACTCCCTCATAGGAATATTACCCATTATTCCCAAGGGAGAAGTTAACTGATTATATGGGTGACATGCAAGCATTTTTTAACATACTGTGTTCAAGAAGGATATTGATAACCCAGAAGGATAAAAGAGACTGAGGTCTAGAAATGAATCTGAGAGGAAACACTGAACAGCTGAACATGTTGATCATAAAGAAGGGAATGTTTATCTTTATGAATGAAGGAACAAAAGGCATAATTGATTGTTCTGCCTTTTAGAATTTGAAGCTCTGGAGTTCAATCACTGGTCAAAAAATTTAGGCTGTCATTAGGTTGAAACCTCCAAAATTTTCAGAACAGTTCAGCAATTGAATGTTCTGGCAAGTTTGCAAAAAAAAGACAGATGTATTTGGGAATGCTTGAGAGACTGGAGATTCCTTCGGTCTTTTCTGATTCTATGATTAGAAGGGATTTATGAATTAGGAGCAGGAGCTGGATCATAGGAGATAACTTGTTAAATAAGCCAGACACTCCAGAACAGGCTGAGAGGAAAATTCAGGCAGTCAAGAACATTAGCCAATCAAACTCTGCAGTTCAGGCCCATCTACAATGTCTAGCCAGAAGGATAAATTAATAATGTGAAATCAGACAAGCCACAATCTAAACAAAGGAGTCCAAGGAGGGTAGAACAAAGGATCAAGGAATAAGCAGGAACATAAAATAAACGGTGTTCTTCAATAGGGAGCAGCAGGGCCTTAGGAAGTTGCCTTATACCAAGTCAGGCTCTTGATCCATCTAGCCTAGTACTGTCAATCCTGACTGGCAGCAGCTGTTTGGTGTGTCAGGCATGATCCCTTTTTAGTTCCAACTGAAGAAGCTTGGACTTGAACCTGGGACTTTCTTGCATATCAAGCAGCTGGTCTACCGTTGGGATATTGTATCTCTTCCTACTTCCATCGGTGGGATTACTTGGAGGCAAGGGCCTAGTAGCCACATGAGTTCAGAAGCTGAATTGAGATGCAGACTGGATCAGCTGTAGCATGTCACTGAATTGCCTTGTTAAAGGTTGACTAAAAATTAACTAGATGTAAGCATCTGACTGTGATGGGGAAAGATCAGTCTGCTTAATACACTTTTTGGCTTACAGAGAAGGTATCTTTCCACCAACCCCCTGATACTGTTTAGTTCCAACTGAATATGCTTTACAATCCTTGCAGGTTACTTCTGACCCACCAGTGTGATCTGTCTCTAATGATCTTGTTTTCCTCCCCCCTTTTTGCAAAGTTTGGCAGATCTCTCTGAGATTCTTGGTATGCATGTATCTAATGTACAAGTAGAAATTCCACTTTGATGTGACACTGTTGCATGTAGGAGCGACTTCTGAAGTACTTTCTAAGAGGTGAATCCATGATGTTGGAAGCAGAGGTCTCCTTGAATCACCTATTTCTTATGCAAGGTGATAAATCACACATTCACAGAATAATGACTTCCCTAATGAAGCCAAGTGAGGAAAGCAAAGGGAAGGGAGACACTACACAAACTTTTGGTACAGCTGGTTTGAATCAGACAGGCCTTCCAGAAGGGATGTTTTAAGAGCTGGAAGGTTTGTTTTAAATTAGGGATCTTTCCCACCTGTTAACATGAATGGTATTGGCTGGATTACTGAGTCTGTTGCAAGCGAAAGTCATTCAGGTCCAGATGTTTGCTTCAAAGAAAATGCATTCAAAAAGGGTAAAGTATAACTGTACAGGGAACTAATAAAAATGTGTTAATCATGATTTGCAAAATGGTTCAGCAGCACCTCCCAGTGGCTTCTTGTTATGCTACCACGGCAGACTATTCAAAGTGCCTTAACTCCTGAACACCCTGTATAGTATATGTTTTCGGTAACTGCACACAGAGGTAAGGCAGATACTTTCAGAGATCTTTTAATCTGACAACATGAGTATTGTCTTACACCAATTTAACAATTTTCTTGTATTCTTTACAGCACAATTCTATGCATATGTTTGCTGTATTAAGTTCAATCAGACCCCTACTCCTATACACCAGCAAGTAATGGTGTATAGGAGTACAGAGTCCCAATCTCTGGGAATAGGTGGGATATAAATAAATATAATATAAATATAATAATACCCTTTCAGAGTTTTCAGTATTGAATTGTGACATACATTCCTAGTTAAGAGCTTTTACCTCCATCTTTTGCAGTGAGTTTTCATAGAGGCCTAGAGTTTAGATCCATATTTCCTGCAAAATAATGGGCATTTAATTTTCTATGTAGCCCACAAAGACTCTAGCACACAGACAAGGTAAAGTTATTGCACACATGTATTAGTTAACCATGGTATAGTTTAGGGTTAGGGTTGAAGTTAAAATATGCTGGGAGTGTTGCCTCCTCCCCTTTTGCCTTCACCCCTCCCACCATTAGAATGTAGCTTTGGGACCTTGTTCAGATTTGAGTGTGACCCTTTAAGGGAGAGATTTGGTTTCTGCACCAATACCATATAGCTATTTTAGATTAATTGAATTATTTTTGCTATGTTTACAGATTCAGTTTTTTCTAATTCTTCCTATGTTACTCCTACTCCCATTGCTGATTGGGAAGGTCATAATGTACACGTTTCTTAATTACATGTTTCATCTTTGCTCCTCTACTCCCCTTTACAGATTGCAACATAGATATTTCTGTAGGAGTTGATATTTCTGGGCGTACGAGGCCTCCATCTGCACTGCGTTTGAGGCAGCAAATGCAAACATATTTGCCCTGGCTCATGCAGCAGCAGGGTTCCATGCTCAATATAAGTTGCACTGCTGAATCTCCCGTTAACATCAGGTTCAGGTACCAAGTATTTGATAACAGCGGCCAGGCCTTGTTTGACTCTGACTTTGAAAAATATAATGATGAGATCATTCAGAAATTCTTGGCTGTGCAAACCACAGTGGACACTTACTTGGACAAAGATTTCCTGCAGTCCTTTTGGGACAGATCCCTCAGTCTGACCTCCGCCAAAGTGAAGGTAATCTCTTTTTTTGTTGCTGTTTTTGTATGGTGGAAAAGGCACCAGATCATCAGGAGCCAACTTTGATGGATACTGAATCATTACTTGCTTTGTTCCAGGCAGACCAGATAACTATCTAAGGATGCATATACTGTAGGAAAATATGTTTCCATAGAAAAAGATTAAACAAATAAGGGCTTGATTCTTCTCCTTGCACAAGAATGGTTTATGCAGTTGCTGATGGGGAGGTACTGCATTTCATTTGCTGAGTGGCAAGCAAATTGAATCATGGAATTCTTGCCTGGCCTCCTGCAGAAGGATTCATGGTGCTGGCAGGGGGCCTACATGGGGATGGGTGGTGGTGGACAGGTGAATCAGCCTACAAAGAATTCAGCTAGGGAAACTTGCATCCATTCTGGTTTCAGTGAGGAATGTAGGAAGCAGCCTTCTGCTGAGTCAGACCCTTGGCCCATCTAGCCTGGTATTCTCAGCAGTGACTGATGGTGAAGTTTTCCAGCCCTTCCTGGAGAGGATGAAAGAGAACCTGCAATGCAGGCATTCTACAGCAGAGCAACAGCCCTTCCCTAAGCTAGGGTCTTTCCCACCTCTGAAGTACAGTGTTTCCCATGTTATCCATGAGTCACATTTCCCATTGCCTGCTGTGAGCTGTGTTATGCCAATAAGGTTGCACCTTGGTCCAACACTGTGGCCTATCAGCAGCCTTCTTCACACACTCCTCCAAGCTGCACATGGTATGGTTTGGTGCTGGCAATAAGCCTGGTGGCTGGCTCAGAGCAGGTGCAGATGTATTTATAGTTAACTCCTGCTCTGCTTAGGGACACCCAGAGTTTCTATAGGGGTGGGCAACTCTATGGTCCTCCTGGACTATGGCCCTGTCCACACCTTCCCATCCCAGAGACATGTTGAAGCACCCATCTTCCATCATCTCCATTACGACACTGTGTCCAAGTAAGGTTTCAGTGCAATATGCTTTGCTTAACTGCTAGTGACATCAGTAAGAAGCCACAAGCAATAGGGTAAGCAAAAACTATGCTTTATTCTGCATAGCACAGCAGATTGGAGCTTGAAGAACAAACATTATCAAATTTGATCACCTGGAATTCTCCAGAAGAAGGACCTGCATAGGATCTGAAATGCATTGGAATTGCTTGTTTTGTGGCATAAAACATCTCTTGTGCTTTCTTTCTTTCTTTCTTTCTTTCTTTCTTTCTTTCTTTCTTTCTTTCTTTCTTCCTTCCTTCCTTCCTTCCTTCCTTCCTTCCTTCCTTCCTTCCTTCCTTCCTTTCTTTCTTTTTTGCTGTGTAGCTTCCTTTGTGGGGTGTCTCATTTTGTTGGATTCTAGTTAAATCACTTGTCAGTCGATCCCCCAAAGTACTCCCTTTTCAGGGCAAGGAAGTCATTTTCAAGTCTCTCCTGGATGAGTGTTCAGTGAAGTACATGCCATGGTCTTTGCCCAGGGAAGAAGGAGTTTTGAGCCTTCCCTTTTCTGGCATCTCCACCTCCTGTTTCTCTCAAAACCATCAGAAGCCTGACATAGTTAGCAGGCATAACTGTGTTCCAAGAGGGCTGAGTGTAGAGGAAGCCTGCAGAACTTGTGGTCTACCAAACCCAATGCAGTCATGTGTGATGGCCCAGCAGCGCTTCCAAAAACATCAGGATATGCAAGAACAGGAGTGTTGTCATGCAATTAGCAGGTGCCATTGCTTGGTCTTGCTGGGTAACACACTGCACAGGTTTGGTTTAAAACATTGTTGTCACCTTGACCATTACTGCAACATGTTCCAGTCATCACATGAAAAGCATTCCTGTTTAAATCAGGCTCTGATTGTAGAGAATACTGAAAGCTTCCCTGGAGACTTCAGGGAAACCAGAAAGCTGCTGGCTGCCTTTCCATGCCCGTTGTTTGTTTGTCTATTGTACTCGTATATTGATTTTCTATAAAATATAGAAAGTGAAAGTAAACTGATTCATGGAAATGTCATGGGGAGGTATTTTTTGATATTTTTATTTCCTTGATATTCTCAAGACAAACATAGATCAAGAGTGGACAACTTGTGGTCTTCTAGATGTTTTAGTCTTTGCTTCCTGTGATATATCACCTCTGACTATGCTGACTAAAATATCTGAAGGGCTGTACTTCATCCACAACTAGCATAGATAAAGAAAGGACAGAAGAAGACATTCAGCAGTTCTATGATCCCTGTCAGTTTTCTCTGCCTGTCTCCTGGGGACTTTTCAGAATCCTCAGCTGTCAAAACCTAGGTTATCCATGGTTACTTTTTACGCAAGTAATGTGATTTATAGCCAGGCACTACACAGGTTAAGAAAGCAAAAAAATATGACCTTCCAACATATTGTGACTTCATACGTTTTGTCTTAAAACTGTCTTTTTTATATGTATGCCTCTGGAGTGTTATTGTTTTGTCACAGGTTCTCTTAGCATTTACTGATGGGCCAGATGAGAGCATAGAAATGCTGAAAACAACTGTGGACTCTCTTCGTAGGAAAGGTACATGGAATCTGCCCCCACAATCTCATGTTGTATTTTGACTTTATGAAACACCAAGAAAGTTTTGGCTATTGGTGATAGAGGAAGATAGGAAATAAATGAATATCTGGAAATTCTAAAGCCCAGTAGGATAGCTCTAACTCGGGTGCACATGTCTGGGATCTATGAAGACTCATGTGAAATGGTAGGGATATTAAGAAACTGTTAAAAAGTAGCCAAGGAAAAATGAAGACAGCTGTTTTAAAGAGGTGTTATAGATGAGCAGATTCCAGCTGTCTTGATTCATATGTAATGTTTAAAACTCTTGAGAAAATGTTTCTTGCGAAATTCATTAGAAATAAAGAATGCCAACTTTTCCTTTACGGCTGTGCACTTGGTCTTAATTCCAACACAATGCTCCTAGTATCTCTTATGGCAAAGCTGACTCTGGGAGTTTCTTCGCCTCCCAGTAGAAAGCATGAAAATTGTATTTCATCTCTGCTTTTAAGGCATTTCGAAGGTGGAGAAATGGCTTTGGCCAGTCCGCTACATGAGAAAGGAATTATATAGTTGCATAAGGTCCATCTTAATTTTAGTGATTTCACCGTGCCAATTTGACTTGATCAGATCAGATGAGAAAATGAATCATCCGCAGTTATTCTGATTATTTGGAAATAAAATCAAGCAGTTAATTGGGTTTTAAAAACTTCCACCATTCTTGTCTGTTGGCCATGTTGACTAGGGCTGATGGGAGTTGGCATCCACTAATTCTTGGATGGTCATAGTTTCACTCCCCTGCCATAAAACATATAAATGGGAGAATAATTATTTGAATAAGACCTTAAAAATTCTGTAATATTAGCATAATATAATAAACTGTATATCTTTTATTTTATTTCTCAAATGGTGTGATTTTTTCTTGTGTTTGTACTGCATAATAAAATTTAACAAGTGAGAATAAAATGTATGTAGGAAATTTTCTTAAGGCTTATGTTCCAATAAGAAATCAATACATCCTAATTTTCTACAAATTTACCCTTTGCCAGTTCTTTATGCATTTATTATTAATACATTATGTTAGAAATGCCATTTTTGAGAGTCATTTATGCCAATCCTACATAGCTGGCAAGTTCTATGATGAAGAAATGTCTGTAAACAAACAAGATGATAAGCTAGGATTTTTGGCTTATGAATCCTTCACAGTGTGAATAAACTGCACGTTGATACATACAGATCATTTGCTTCTTTTTCTCTCTTCTCTTTTTTGTGAAAAGGCAAACAAACCAGGCAGGGATTGATTAGTGCAATATTTAAGTCTTTAAGTATGGTTAATTGCATCCAAGCAAGCCAAGCTTCACACATGGGCAACAAACTCTGTTGATATTAAATTTATTTGATTTATAATCCTGGCTTGCTTTGGCACCATAAACCATAATCTTAGACTGGAACATAGCTCTAGTCTCTCCCTCCTGGTTTGTTTATTTGCTAGTGTGAAGAGAGAAACAAAGAGGCTGAAGGCACATCATGGTGTTTGGTCAAATCGCCATTTAAAAACTTAAGTTTTCAGAGTTATCATTATATGAAAATATGACCATTCTGCAGTTTGGCAACCATCAGTAAGTTTGTTAGTTCCAAATGGAAAATGCTTTTTTGGGAGCATTATGAACAGCAACCGTTATGTCCTTTCTTCGTTTTAATAATATATGAAAAGTGTCCACTTAAGCAAATCAACTGAATAGTTTTAACATTTTATTCTTTTACAGGGCTCAGTGCATTTTTAATTATTGGCCTAGAAAACTTTCAGGAATTTCATGAACTGCAGGAAATTGAGTTTGGTCGAGGATTTGAATATCACGAACCTTTGCACATTGGAAACCCAGCACTCCCGGGCATGTTGTGGAGAACCTTTGTAAGTCTGTTCATGGAAGAGGGAGAAAAAAAGAAGATAACTTTCTCAGTTCAAACAATGAATGCATTAACAATGATTGGCGGCCATTCTTTGTTTTGCAGGACACAATTGCAGAACGAGAATGCTGTCGTGTTTGTTGCAAATGTCTTGGGCAAGCTGGAATTCAGGGTATTCCTGGACCTGGTGGAAGGGAGGTAAGATTAGTAATGAGTGACATATATTAAGGATGCGACCCCTGAACTGTGATAGGACACACTGGTGCACTGCAAGAGCAAATGAAGAGTGCTTTGACTTCCCTGCAAAAAGAAGGCATCAGTATTGGATACATCCATTGCTTCATATTGCTCGTCACTGAGGGACTGTGTGAAACTGATTCTCAGACCGTCCCTTTCTCTGCAAACTGAGGAAGGCTTGGGAAAGAAAGAGGCAGTTGTTCTTGGTGCTCTTTCCAGAGCCAAGGTGGCACCAACTCTTCAGATGAGGAATGTAAGGTCTGGGAAACAAGGCCTGTGGACGTTGAGATGCCGAAGGAGGGAGAGCTTATCTCAAGGTTGCTGTCTCCAGGTGTTCAGGCAGACCTTGGGAACCGACAGGGTTTGGAAGAGCAGGGAGGGAACATGGGCGAGGAGCAAGAGGATCCTGGTCCAATCCCTGACCCCATGATGCAGTGCTAGGAGAGAAGGACTAGCCGACTAGAGGCCTGCGTTGATCTAGAAGGCTAACCAGAGGAGGACACCCAGAGGGGTGGAGCTCAGGGTTGCTGACGTGGAGAATTTTTAAAATAGTTTTTAGTTTGGGTTCAAAAATTGCTCAGTGCATGCTCAGAGACTTTTCCTCTGTTGACTATTAGCTTACTGGCTGTGTGTAGGAAATAAAGTGCTTATATGCAAAATAACTATCTGCTGTTTGATGGAAGAAGGGGCAGGGGAACCAGACTCCCAGCAGGAAGTAAGGTGGCATGGGGATTGTGTCGCACAGTGGGCTTTGCTCCTAACATATTTGGGAAATTACCGAAGCATAATTTTTATTGGTTACATTGATGTATCTACTTTCTTCAACTAAACTCTAAAAGGCATACATAGGACACAGAAATCATCTTCCATGCATGCTCTGACTAGACCCAGACTTGCTTGGCCAGTGATTTATGATATGCTTAAAGCTTAATCCTATGCAGATTTAAACAGAAGGCCTACAACTTCCATGCTGGGATTGTGCCCTTAGAGCAGGGGTCTCAAACTCGCGGCCCGTGGGCCAGTTGTGGCCCGTGGGATGATATATTGTGGCCCCCACTTGATATCAAAGTTTAGTGATAGTGCGGCCCGCATGTTTTTCTCACACGCACCTGCGTGAGTCGTTACCCTGGGCGCAATGTTCCCTCTAAGCTGCGTGCCAGGACGGGCAGGGCAAGGTGGGGGGGCCCTGTGGCCTTCAAAGCGCCGGCAGCGCCCGGGCCGGCCTCCAGGAGCGACGTGGGATGAGCGGCCCACCACCACCACAGTGAATACTTGATGCAGCCCAGCCTCACCCAGACTCTACTTCCAGTGGCCCCCAGGTAAGTTGAGTTTGAGACTCCTGCCTTAGAGGCTCAGTGATTTCAAACAGCAAACCAACTCTGCCATTTGTTTTTGTAATGAAACAAAGAGCTAAGCATGAAAGGAACAGTAAACAGTACACCAAACTCAACTTAATAGCCATGATCTTGAAGGTAGTATGTTTTACTGGAAAAATAAGCAAGGGAAATACAGAATATGTATCTAAACCACATTTGTGTGGTTTTTTCTGTAACTTCCATACAGGCTGACAGAAATGTATGAAATCCTCCAAATCTCAAATGTATAATAAAAACCATAACTTTGATAGACATAAATCTTTTGTCATTCCAAATATCCCATGGGGGTCCCATGGGATATTTCTCAGAGTTTTCCATGGGATATTATTCAGAGTTCCTTGTTAACTTTTACAATTGATTCACTGATTATTTTTGCAGTCTTCTATGGGAAGCTTTCGCTACCTTCTCTAATGAGGAAAAGGGAAAGAAAGCATGGGCTGGCACACACTAACCTGAGCTGAAAACACATCACAGCATTTTTGTGTAACTTCAATAAAGCTCCCACGAATTTGTTGTAAAATGAGTGGGGACACACTGAAGCTGATTGCTAAAAAGGAAAACCCAGGTAACCTAGGAAGCAGAGCAGGGAGGAAGAGAAGCTTAAGACAAGAAATGGCACTTGTGTGCTGGCTTGTGCGACAGGATGACAATCCACTGTGGACAGCCCCCTATGGTGGGTTGTCACATCAACTCAGCCTGCAGCTTATTTTTGGAAAAGCAAGCCATGACAAGAATTCATAGCTTGTTTTAGGGTTGTTTTTGCCACAATAAGTTATCATGTTATCTGAAGTGGGGAAAAACATTTTTATGGCAGCTATGAAGCAGCTCAGTGTGAGTGGCAGAAAAGGCACTTACTTTTTATGGGCTTGTCAGTGACTGCCTTTGCACCAATGCTAAAAGAGCATTTAGGAAGGACCATCACTTGTTCCCCTGTTCTTTATTTTTTATATTTGGATGTGTCTGAAATGTGCAATTTGAGCAATATTTTGTCAGTCTTTTGCCAAGTGCACAAATGGATTCTTATATTTGATATGTGTAGTCTTGCCTGTTCAACTTTCATTGTCTGTTTCAGCTATCAAAAGGGAAAATGGGGAAAAAAGCTGAGAATGTAATTGTCTAAAGAGAGACTGTATCTTCCTCTGAATTTTAAGTGTTAAACTGACACTTCTCAGTGCTGTAGAGGAGCCATGAAAATGACAGGGGGAGCTACATTTTTGAGGAGTTGCAAAGTTTGGGAACTGTTAAAAAGGTAGAGAGTACAAAGAAGCACTTAAAACCAAGAGGATTGCATTGCTAAGGGAAAGATGTTGTCCCGTCCCTTTTCCTGCAGCTTCTTTCACCCTTTTTCTGCCTTTACCAGTGCTTTTCAATTGACAGCTTGGCAACAAGTCACTGGCAACTGTACAAATGAGTTTATATGCAGCCTTGCCTTATCAATCTGTTACCTGCTCCGCTCTGTCATTCCATTTGACAACTAAAGCAACAAGGAAATTGACCAGGCAAGACTACACAGAATGAACAACCAAAAAAGTGTGCTTGTGAAATAGCCAAAGAACAGAAAACGCCCCCAAACATAAGAATTTGTGCAGTATTCTGAGGCTGGACCCTCTTCCCAACCCCAAATGCAACTTTTGAGGCTCTGAAAATGTTCTTTAAAAATTCCTTCTCAACCACAAAATATTCTTATAACTGAGATTCTGAGGTATTTCACTTTATATTTATTTTGCAGGTGTATATTTAATAAAATTCAAATAAAAATAAATAAATAGTTTGGATTGCATATTGACCAGGTCTAAGAACTGTCTGTGTTTTGCCAGATAAAACACCTCAGGTCAGGTTTTCAAAATAAGAGGAGCTCTGTCAGTTCTAAGAAACAATCTACTGAATTTTATTTCTCCCTATTGTTATCTTCCAGGGAAATACAGGCTTTAAAGGATATCCAGGCCACCCCGGTGACGAAGGAGTTGTTGTAAGTAACATACAGCTCAGTGGTACAGAAACAGCAGTATGATTGCCTTATAAGAGAGTAATCTGGATCTGTTCCTGGAAATCCATAATAGTGGCTTCTATAACATCCTAAATTGGGAAGACATATTTATTCATCTGTCTGTATAAACATTTATCTCCTGCCCTGTTACCGCAAGAATGGGGCCTCTGGGGCAGCTACCATTTTATATACCGAGAGTGTAAAAACTGCAGTCTTCCCCCATCATTCTCCAAGTCTTATCTGGCAGTTCCCATATGCTATAGCTTCTATTTCCACAGAACAAATTCTTTAAAGAAGGAAAGACTGACTAGGTGCACACAGGGTCGGCTCTACCATTGGGGAAAGTGAAGCTGTTGCTTCAGGCAGCTAATGCTGGGAGGGAGCAGCAAGGAGCTGGAGAAGAGAACTCTGTGTTTGCCCTGCACCCCTTAAGCTAACCTGCTGCCTTGAGGTGTGGGGAAGGATTCTGTATAAGAGCTGGTCTAGAAGGAAGTTTCAACTGGAAACATGGAATGGAAGGGAGTGTCATCTTGGACTTGCCTCAGAAGGCAAAACATTTGTGGTTAGCTGGGGCTGCGCAGCATCTGTTATCTCATAGCATTAGGAGTGTTCCATCTGGAAGCACTCTTACAGCGGCAGAAAATGTCACAACCATATAGAAGCACTTCAAAGCCAAGAACTAGCAATCCTAATACTTTGGTCATGTGTAATGAACAGCTTTTTCCTATTTCTCTTTCTTCATTAGGGAGATCGGGGGCCAACTGGTATGGATGGGAAACAAGGAGAAGCAGGGTGCCCTGGCTCAAGGGGTTCAAAGGCAAGTGAACAGCTTGGAAGCCTCACTGTCCTCAGGGTGCATCCCAATCAGTGTCTTGTCACATGTTATTCCTTTTCATATTTTGTGTCTCACTGTCTTGGTATGCGAGTTGTGTGCTTCCAGCATGCATGGCTCAGATTTCCACCCCCTCCAAATGAATGTAGAATTAGTACCTCTGTATCCATATAGTTATACATCCAATTCAGCAAATCTAGTGTCTGTTTCCAAGTACAGGATCGTGGCAACAATCAACTGAAAGCATGAAGTAGGAATGATGTCCATTAGCTTCTACTAAAGAAAATTAAGTAAAACAAATTAATGAGTCTAGGTAAATGGGAATAAGTTCACAAGAAGAAGCCTCTTCATGACACAGTTGTTCACAGTGCATACCTCCTGAATGAGACATGAACTGTTATGCAAGTCCTCCTGGACCAAGAACTGCAAATTTTACATGGTCTGCAGATCATTGAACACAAATACACTGGAAAACCACATGGAATTCAGAGTTGGACACCTTATTTTTTGGTTTGTGGGTTTCTTCTACACCTATTATGGGTGAATATAAAAATTACCCTCTCTGCAGCCTTTTAGTGCAATGCTGTATTCCACCTTCAACTCCTTTCTCTTCTTCCCTGTTTGCAAATGTTTGCATACTTACCTGTATGTCTGAGTGTGATTTATCAAGAGCACGAGTCAATATTCCTCTTATTTCCCTTGTTTATGCAAATCATAACATTACCACAGTCAGAATTCTCCCTCCCTCTCTCAGACTTGTGTTTGTAAGTTTGTCACTTGAGAACTGAGCTTCAAATGTAATACACCCCCGTCTCCTGTTAGGACTATACACACATTGGTCCGGGGTAAATATTAACAGGGATCTTGAGATTATTGTGTTGATTGATGGTGGTGTAAGGGAAGGATGCCTTGGTTTCTTTTCTGGTTTCATGAGCAATAATAGACAGAAAGATGCTGCCAGGTTGCAAATATGGGTTGTTTTGCTGTTTGGTATAGGCTCAGTTCTGGTACCACAGGCACCCAGTTTAGTTTTTTAAACTAGTATTAAATAATAATATTACATTTCATACTACTTAACTAGTATTTATATTTGATAGCATTAAATACAAGTTCTTTTAATTAGCAATAAGTATTAGTAATAATTGACATTGCTACTTAGTTCAGAAAGATTATTTGAATTCTGTCACAGAATTTCTAGAAGCTTTCTGGCATCACTCACTCGCAATTTGTCTCTTTTATATTTCAGGGAGCAAGAGGATATCGAGGAAGCAAGGTATGTGCTTTAAAATGTGGCTACAGCTCCCTCACTTTAAAGAATATCCCAAATATTTCACTTTAGTCATTAGTCACTACCTTGTGAAAAAGTGGCTTTGGGTTTGACTAGTACAAAGATGATTGGATGCAAACTTCTTATATACCAGGAAGTGGCCTTTTACTGAGTCAGGCCATAAGTCCATGTACCCTGATGCAGTCTGTGTTGGCTAGAAGCAGCTTTCCAGAGTTTTAAACAGAATTTTCCCAGCCCTACCTGAAGATCTAGGACTGAACCTGGGACCTTTTGCTTGCAAAAAAGTTGCTCTACCAAGTTGCTAAATACTCTTGCGGACAAGAGGCCTGAGAGGGTGTTGAATCACTGGATGAATGATGGGTGTTGAACCATAGATGGAGAACTAGAGGCAGCCTAAGATATTTTGGTCATATCAAGGAAAGTGCAAGATGGAACCAACCTTTCCACTCACAGCTCCATTCCTCATATAGAGACTCACTCACTTCGACACTAGCAGCAGGATAGCATCCTCCGCTTCTCCTGAGGGCAGCAGGTTAGCTTAGGGGTACATTACAAGCCATGCATCGCACCCAGTGCTCTCCTGCAAGAGCTGAATGATGAGGAGGCTCAGGAGAACTAGTTTGAGGCCTGCTACTGCTGCACCTCATCACCTGCTGCCATTTATTTTAAAGGTAGGGCAGTCTGGCAGAGAACCGTGCCATATCTCATCTGAGCAGAATTGTGCTAGAAGCAGCAGTCAAAAAGAACTTCCTAATAAGCATCTTTTAACACTGTTTCAACAGGGTGAAGATGGAGATTTTGGGATTGACGGCATTGATGGAGAGGAGGTACCATTGAACCATAATTTGATGATGATGATTTTCATAGATGTTCACTTTCTGAAAGGGAACAAAAGAATGCATAACATTTAAAGAAAAATGGAATCAAACAAGACCAAATTACAAAACAGCTAAAATAGAGTCAGTAATTTTCTGAAATATTAAAATCTTGTACATGTTTCAGAATTGCTTAAAGATAAGGCCGGATACACAACTGTTCTCCAAATGTCTTCAGAATAGGCCTGTATGACTTTTGAAAGATTGGAGGCATTGCCTCAGATAGATTGCTGGGGAAAGTATATACCACAAGATTACTGAGTTGTTTAAATGAAACCAAACATACTTCCCCCCCCTTTTTTCTTTCCTTTTGGGGATCTAGGGAGAAAAAGGATCTCCTGGATCATCTGGACAAAAGGGCACCCCAGGACGAAGGGTAAAGTTAGCTCTGTATTGTAACACGCAGTTGGTGGAGGCCACTGTAATTCCCTATATATTATGTTTTAGGGAAAATCTCCAACCCTTTGGAAACTTGTATTAATTTTTTAATGATTAAGATTTAAAATGGATAGATATTAGCCTTACTTAGAGTAGACCCAATGAAATTAATGGGACCTAACTAATCATGACCAACTTAAGTATCATGCATTTCAATGGTTATACTTTTAAGCAGGGCCAAAATTAGATACAATCCATTATTTCTATGTGGGAGCTGATTGTGCCGATCAGCATTTATCAAAAGCCTCAGAAATATCAGACACAATGCATTAAAGGGTTAAATGTGCATAACGTGCCCCCCTCTCACTCCCTACATTACAAGTGAACATGAGCATGTTTATCACTGGTGGGCCACTGACCATTGACATTCTAAGCTGAGATCTGACAATCTCGAGCTTTGTCACAGATAATATGAGGTAGTGCATGATATCTGAACTGCTGCTCCTCTTTTCTTTATGGCTGAAGGGTAGAGAAGGCCCCATAGGAGAGCCTGGTGAGCGTGGCGAGTCTGGTATACGAGGAGACAATGTGAGTAATGGTGGTATTTCATTTTTTAAGTAAAGAGAACTTGAGTAATTAGAAACAGAATTTTCTACAGTGGTGTAGCAGAGCAAGGGGGCACAGGGATGCAGCACTGGCACTTTCTGATGAGCAAAGTTGCCGATGTCATCTGCCATTTCCCTGCATGCTCTCAGCCTAGCTCTGTCCTTGCAGGTGGAGGTGGTGGATGGTTCTTCCAGAAACATAAGTAACTCATGATGAGATGCCTTTATCTCCACCCTAGAGCTTCTCCAAGTTCCAGGGCAAGTACTGCAGTCGGGAGCCTTTTCTGTTCACCAAACTCTGGTCTTCCAGGAGCAGAAAAGGCTCCCTGCTACAGAAGTTATGCTGGACTTCTTCTGCTGATGCCGCCACCTCTCTTCCTTCTCCTTCTCCTTCTCCTTCTCCTTCTCCTCCTTCTCTGCATTTGTATCCTGACTTTTTCCTTATGTGAGGAACCCAAGACAGCTTACATAACTCCATTTTATCCTCATAACAGCAGCTCTGTGAGGTAGGTTGGGCTGAAAGTCTGTGACTAGCCCAAAGTGAACCTCATGACTGAGTCAGGATTAGAACTCAGCTCTCTCGGATGCCCATTCCAATGTTCAAACCACCACAACACAATGTCTTCATGAGAGCATGGCTAAAGGCATGGCCCTGCACCCCTATTCTGCTTCTGTTGTCCCTTCATCACTTTAATCAGAGGTAACCTGGGAGCCAGGACTGAGTAAGGAGGTTGGAGCCAAAGGACCAAGCTGAGAATCAAAATCAAGGGGCAAGCCATGAAGTTAGGACCAAAGAGCAAGGAGCAGAAGTCAGGGCCAAAAGGAACACACAGGAACCCAGCAGATGAATGCAGGCAAGGTCCCAGCCCAAAGAGGAGACCCTTAATAGCCCTTCTTCAGGAGGATCCAGTGCTCCTGGGAGTACTTCACTGCTAATAATTTGTCCAAGTTACTACAGCTCAGCAGATGGGGCAGCTGCTCACAGAAATGGGGGCTTCAAGTTCTTGCCCAACAAGAGATTGTTTTGCCCAAGTTATGGGCCCCAAGGTACTATTGTCTTTCCAGTGTACATATGCATCTCACAGGTTCATGCTCCAAGCAGAGCATTTCACCTAGCTCATTATTAGAGAATAAAAGAATGTAAGTACTATCTGGTGTTCTGCTAGTGAAGAATGCAGCTGCTTTGTTTTTTCCCCTAAGATGTATTATAAGAAGAAGACAATTATTTCAGATTGAAATGTTTCCTAATGCCTTAATACCTTCTTGCCCTGTAAAATAATACCTTCCTGTCTTAAAGCCACCCACTTGGATTGCATGCTTGAGTTCATTGCCTTCCAAAATTATTTCCTTTCCATTGCTCCAGGGAAAGCATTTGTAGTTTTAGACAGTGGATTGCCTATAGCAACTAAAGCAAGCGTTGAGCCTATTTCTGTGATCTGTTTTTTTAAGCTACAATAGCAAAGCTGAGGACTCTGAAAACACTTAAGAATTTGTTGTATTTTTTTTCAGGGGATTCCTGGAATTGACAATGAAGTCTTTGGTCCTCCGGGTACAAGAGGGAAAACAGGGCGGCAGGTAACCAAGCATGTAGAAATCACTAAGGAAAACTAAGGCAATTCTGAAGATAGCAGTGTGTAATTTTGCAAGACGATCATTGTTAGCTTCTTATACTGAATTGAGGATTGATTCTTTTATTTAATTGTTATTGTGAATGTTTTTGTGGTGCCTCATAACTCTGCATTAGAAACAAAAAGAGCCACCAAGGTTTTGGATCTGGTTGGTTGCAATTTCAACCTGATTGCTAGAAGCAGCGAAACGCATGAGCACAATGTTCCATTGCTCCCTGTGGATTTTGGCAGATCTGCAGAACCAGTTGAACACCAGTTGAATGAGTCAACTTGGACAACAGACTTAGAATGTGAAACTTGAGAAGTCTCTTTTCTGACTCATCTACATTAGATAGATGTATATGTTTGATACAGTGGATGGCCACAAAGCTGCTAACAAAGCAATGTCATATTCTGAGCGTTAGAAGAGTGGAGTGTGTGTTTCTTGAGTTACATGTCAGAGTTCATAACATGCCATGATGCTGGGGTATGGGAATAACACAAATATAATTCAGTAATCTCACTGTGCTTTCCAGGGGGAAATTGGAGCTGATGGTGTACAAGGAGAAAGTGGAGCAAAGGGTCTAAATGTAAGAACAATTGTAGAAAAGATGAAGTACCTGCTGTGTCCAAGTTTACAGAGACATGTTCTTTCCCTCTCCCAATATAAATTCTTTTTATGAAATTAAGTAGAGGTAATATGGTGGGATGAACAAGGTATAGGAAATTACTAGGCACACAGGGAAAATATATATTAAACATTATTAAGCGCTCCTTTGTGAACCAGGAGGTCACCTCCCTTTTAATTCCTGAAATTGATGGCTTCCTGTTTGTTTTTCCCTCTTTTGCATGAAGGTCATTTGTCCCTCAGGCTAGAAAGTTGGGTCTGCAGCAAATGGGTTTTGCTAATTTATCAAGAATTTAGGATTAATTGCTTACCTGCCGCTGTTTCCAACTGTGGGTCTGTAGGTGTTGTTGGACTATAAATCCCCAGTCATCCTCAGTCAATGTGTATAGCTGTCTGGGATTTCTGGGAGTGGCAGTTCAGTGCCATCTGGATGCTTTCTTCAGATGCCTTAGGAAATTCATGTCAGAGTTCATCATATGCTTCTCGTGTCTTATTCCCCTATAGGTTTCTTTAGATTCAATGCAAGCAGGCAAGCCAGTTTTGACTCTTGGGTGGGTCCTGTTCAAAATAAGGGGTTGATCTATTAAGTCTCCAAGGAGGTAGAGGACTGAGGGTCCCATTGGTGGAGTTGGAAAAGTTGACTAATGCTCTCCAGGGACTTGTAAGGGACTGTGTAAGATAAACATTTCACTCATATGTAAGACCTGTTGCTGTTACTTTGAACTTGTTTGAATTCCGTGTGCTGAAGTTACTTCTTCCCCACCCACTATTTTAGGGTCGTGTTGGCCGCAGAGGTCCTCCTGGTTTAAAGGTCAGTAGTCACTGCACTTCCATGCTGCTGAATGTATTATTATGAGCTGAGTCTTTATTGCATGAGCTTGCTCCCTCCTCACAGCTGATTATGGACTCTTTAGATGAAGCAGTGTTTTTAAACAGTGCTTTCAGCAAGTCTTTTGAGGGCAGGGAAAATGTGGTACAGAAAGGAAGGAAATACCTTTCTGCTTGTGTATTTGTGCCATTATGCTATCCCACAATGCCACCTCCCTGTTAAGCAACAGGAAAGCAGGAAAGGACATGCTCCTTGTGTAGTTCTTAAACCTCTATTTTGTGACAAAACCAAAAGTAGATACAGTGGATTAACAGCCTTTTGTAGAAAAGCTTGATGCCTCTTCTTCCAGAAATTGAAGGGGAAACTATTATTGGCATTATGAATAGTAATAAACTGCGTTAGAGTTCTATTTGGATGCTGGAGCATTCTAGACATGTGGAGTTAATAATTTGAAGAGGAACTATGACTCTCATTAAAATAAGGACATTTCTAAATATTGTTCTTGGTAAGACTGTTGTCCAGATGTGTATCAACAAGTGGAAAGAAATCAGTAAGACTGAAACAAAGAACCCGGCAGGTAAAACTTAGACCATGATTTGCAAATCCCATTCGGACTGTGGTTTCAGTTTTTAGTTTATGGCTCCATGGTCCAGTTATCTGGACACAAAGTTTAACCATGATTAAGCTTCACAACCTCTCTGGGCCAGAATGCTTAGAAGGATTGTACTCCTGCCACAGATGTATGATGAAATGAATATAGTGAAATCAAGTCAACAAATACATTACATTTCGGATACTTTGTGTTGTAGCAGAAGAGCAGTGCTAACTACTAATAGTTGCGTTAGTGTGAGAAATGACATATCATAAACTTAGGGACTTCAAAATGTTTTGTGTTTCAAATGATAAAGATTCAATGACATTCCTTGAATCTTCATTTAAGCTTGCACTTTCAAAAACTGGAACGTTTGAAAGATCCCCAAGTGGGCTTGCTGGCCCGCTTCTACTGTCTGTACTTCTTCTGGCCCTGTTCCCCAGCTGCTGAGTGTTGAGTGGAACACAGCAATCTGGCCAGCCGTACATGAAAAGGCAATCCATACATCAAGTTGCCTGGATGACCTTAAGCTGGTCCGCATTTCTCAGCATTACGTCAGGGGTCTTCAGAAGGTTAGGGTTAGTGGACATTTAGAATTTTAAGAGCTTCATGGGCAGTCTTACAAAATGACATCCATGGAGGGTGGGGAAGTTGCTTGCCTGTTCGAAAGGCAAGATGGTGACGCTGCAGGAGAGCTGCAGAGAAGCTAAGTACAGTGCAGGGAAGGGCCTGAGCTTCAAATCATGGAACCATTCATTTGAACCCCAAAGAAAGATTGCCCTGGGAGGTATCCCTGCAGACTGCAGCATGACAGCATCCCAATTAAGTATTATTTTAAATTTTTAAAAGCACACTTAAGAAATAAAATAAAAATCAGGAGGGGCAGGGTCTGGTGGACACCAAGGAAGGTGTCCATGAACACCATGTTGGGGACTGTACTCCTAGATGATAGGGGTTTTTCAAGGTCACTAAGCCACTGAAGATTGATTTCTGAGAGCCAAAGCAACAGCAGACTCTCGCCAGCAAAGCGTGCCTGTGGGCCTTGGCTGCTGTTGGAAGCACTACAGGATGCTGGACTTAAAGGACCATTTGGTCTGATGCAGCAGGAATCATCTTATGTTCTTAATTTTCAGAAATGGGACAAAGAGAGTTTGGCCTTAGAATCAAATGTCTCTTGCCCTATGTCAGAATCTTGGCACATTGCTTCCTCATCAGTCTTTGTGAGCTTGCTCACAATATCATCTTTACGGAAGGCTTGCCTTGCAAACCATCTGAGTACTGATACTGTTCCTGAGGAGATCTAGAGGGCCCCACAGGCTTTGACACTTATCTGAATGTTTTTCTCCTGATTCTATCATAAACGCATATTTAACATGTTACAGGAGATGACCTTCCTATCCAAAGTTTATTGCTAGTCAGCACTGTGAGTCTTACTTTTCCAAACCTCTCCTTGATTATTTTAGGTATCAATAAACATTTTCAAACTACAGCTTTGCCCAGTCATTTTGCACTAACATTGAACAATAACCTTAAGCCACCTCTCCAGTTACATCAGTTTTGCACCGAGGCCTCAGCCCAAAAAAATCAGTTGAGTGATTTTTGAAAATAATGGGAAATTAAAACAAACAAACAAACAAAACAGGTCTGGAAAGCATAATAATGATGGGGCTGTTTGCCATTCCTCATTTTATTTCTCAAGACTCAAATTTAGACCAAGGATTCAGCTCTGAACCATCCTCAGTGATGTTTCATCCCTCTGCTTCATATCCTTAATGCCCTTGACAAACATAAAGGTGCCCGTTTACCAAGAACGATCTATCTTTTCTTAAACTGGGCTCAGAATAGACATGCCACATCCTCAGATAGTTACTGGATCTGAACAGAGCCTACTACTGTGCAAATGCCTGCTCTCAGTCCTCCAACCAAACAGCTTGGAGCTGCCCTTTCAGTTTCCTGCAATGTCCAGCAGTGATACTATCATGCAGGCATTGTGGGAAAGTTCCGTGACAGCTCCAAGTCACCTGCCACTGCTGCTGTCACAACCTGTCACCGTGGCTGCTGCCAGTTGTGTGGGTGCAGGGCCAAGGAGAATGGTTGCCTTCATGGTTCTTGATCTTAGCAAAATGTTCACCAATAACCCCCGCCCCCCTCTGGCTATTGTAGACCAAGAGTGGTCAGAAAGTAATCTCCAGATGTTTTGGACTTCAATTCTGAGCCTTTCTGACCATTGTCCATGCAGGCAGGGACTTCTCAGAATTGTAAGCCTACAATTTGAAGACCTTCCTTCTGCCCACTTCTGTCCTAGAGCGCTGTTGAATTAATGCCTCCTTCCCACTCAGTGCTTGAGCAGTCTTTCCCAACCTGGTGTCCTCCAGCTGTTCTGGACTTCAGCTCCCATTAGCCCTAGTCAACATGGGCAATGGCCCAGGAAAGCTGGGAGTGGTAATCCAAAGCATCGATTGAATCCAGGTTGGGAAGATTGTATCAGGGAGAAGACAAATAGCTTTGAGGTTGGGTTATCACAAGTTTCTGCTAGTCTCAGGTTGGCAAGAAGTTGTTCAGGAATGCACATTTTCCTTAATTCTTTATGTCTGATTTGGCAGGGTGTACGAGGAAACGAAGGGGAAGCGGGTCATCCTGCAGAAAGTGGGCCACGAGGTTATCCGGTAAATACAAATCCATACTGAGAAGGAATGGTCAGTGTGACAGGTAAAAAGTATAAGGCAGGGTTTGTGGGACACCCAGTGTTTTGTACAGCTCGTGATGGGTTGCCACAGTGGAATTCTGCATCACATGTGCGGAATCTGACCAGTGACCAGCTCTCTGCATTAGTGCAGTCATTGCACAACTGGAGTGAATCAGCCTAAATCATTAAACCAAGGCTACATCTGCATCTCAGTGAACATTTCATTCATTGTACTTTATGGTTTACTGTCCAATATGTCTCCTATGTCATCAGGGCACAAAGGGCCAACAAGGAATACCTGGACCTATCGGGCCGCACGGCTTACCGGGCCTTCAAGTATGTTTTATAACATTTCTTAATTCCTAAAGTGTGTTTCATAACGTCTTATGAAATCTCTATAACTGCTCAGGGATTGTATAAAATATTTTATAGCACATAAATAGTATAAACACTCAAAGAAATGACATTCTATTCCTTCTGAATGTATTTATTTATTTTGGCTCATGATAAAACAGAAATAAGAGAGCAAAAGGTGAGAGTTTTTATGGCAAACACTCACAGGATTATGAACCCTACCTCAAATTTTTCCTGGCCCAGTGGCATGGAGATCTGCCTGCTCTGCTGAATTTCAGTTAGCCTTACTTATTTTAGACTCCCTTGATGTTTTGGGGCATGCATGTTTTGTTCACAGTCTCATCACATCTTGGGCTTTGTAGTCTATACTCTGCAGTTGTAGTACAGCAGCCGTATTCATTCAATTTGTTTTGAATCCATACTTTATTAGTTTTTGTCAACCTGCTGGCAGAACAGATTTTAAGGAATGGCCTCTGGCAAATCCTCTCCAAATGCACCTCCACCACCACAACTCTGTCCCAGAGACTTGGAGGTACTCCATTTCCTTTAGGTGGACTTCTTGCATGCAGAGGGGTCTTATCTGCTGTTTAGCATTTAATAAAATAGGGATGTTTCAAGAAATAAATTGAAGGCCATAAGAAGTAGGGCAAGGCATTCTTTTTTAAAAAATGTGTATTTCATAATGCTTGCCCTTTGTCTCCTTTTTGTATAGGCCTATACGAAAGGTCGGCATTAATATCCCATGGCTTGCTTAAAAGCTTGTGTGGATATGTTTAAGGGGACCTCCCTGGCTTCTAAGTTCTGGAAGTCAGAATCCAATAGTCTCCACCATTTATCCCCTTTCATCAAAACTTCTAAGTCCTGTGAGCACTACTAAAGCCTTTTCCTGACATGACTTTTTCCTTTGGAAATTTATTTCCCTGGATGAATAAGACCCAGAAAATACAACCCTTGTGGGCTGTACATTGTCCATTTGTCCATTTGGCTGGATTCTTCATGAGACGTGGAGTGACATTTTAAAAAGGAAGGAATGAATTCACTTCCAGCTGTAGTGTCTTTCTGTCTGTGTCTTTTTGGAGAGTGCTTTAACAGACAGCATTAGGATAGCTGCAAATTTGGATATGATTATAGAGAAAACATAAAAACTATTCAACTGGCTGCTAGTGAGTTCTGTGGTCAGGAAGGGCATTTGCTGTGGAAAATGAACAGTTTACCACTGGTTTTGTGCTCTGAATAGAAGTCAGACTTTTTTGCCTCAATTTGACTTTAAATATGTGTTTCTGATTGGAGGGTAGTCCAGGAATCAAAGGTGAATCTGGCTCTGCAGGAAAAGTAGGACATATGGGTCGAAAGGTAAGCATTCCTGATTCCAGTATTATCCTTTGGGAAGTTGATAATGTGTTTCTTAAAGTAAAATGCAGCCTTCACTTTGTCTTGTATAGCTACACTAGTTATGGTCTGTATAGCATAGATGAGGAACCTCAGACTGCAGGTTAAATAGGGCCCACAAGATTTCTCCACCTGACCCCTACCTTACCTCCAGTTACAAATCAGAGATAAGCGATTTTCCTCTTCCCTCCCATTCTGCAAGTTAAGATTTTAAAAAGTCTTCATTGGTGACTATGGCAGTGTTTCAAAGCCTAACAACAGGCTCAGCATCTTTTGCTTTTCTGAGTGCAAGACAACTGTTGAGGAGGGAAGGGCTAACCCTGTAACCCTTGTCCCCAAATGGCCTTGTGTTGTTGTTAAGCAAAGTCACATCTGACCCATCGCTACCCTATGGACAATCTTCCTCCATGCTCTCCTGTCCTCCACCATACCCTGGAGTTTACCTAAGCTCACACCAAGTGCTTCAGTGACTCCATCTAGCCACCTCATCCTTTGCCATCGCCTCCTTCTTTTGCCATCAATTGTTCCCAGCATTAGGGCCTTCTCCAGTGAGTCCTTCCTTCTCATTAGGTGGCCAACGTTTTTGAGTTTCATCTTCAGTATCTGGCCTTCTAAAGAGCAGTCAGGTTTGTTCACATCTAAGACTGACTGGTTTGATCACCTTGCAGTCCAAGGGACTCTCAGGAGTCTTCTCCAGCACCATAATTCAAGGACCTCAATTCTTCAGTGTTCAGCCTTCCTTATGGTCCAACTTTCACAGCCATACATTGCAACTGGGAAAACCATAACCTTGACAATACGCACTTTTGTCGACAGGGTGATATCTCTGCTTTTTAGTATGCTGTCTAGATTTGTCATAGCTGTGCTCCCCAGAAGCAAGCGTCTTTTAATTTCTTGGCTACAGTCATTGTCTGCGGTGATCTTGGAGCCCAGGAAAATAAAATCTGTCACTACCTCCATTTCTTCCCCATCTATTTGCCAGGAAGTGATAGGACCAGATGCCATGATTTTAGTTTTCTTGATGTTGAGTTTCAAGCCAATTTTTGCACTCTCCTCTTTCACCCACATCAAGAGGCTCTTTAGTTCCTCTTCACTTTCTGCCATTAGAGTGGTATCACCTGTATTTTGAGGTTGTTGAAGGTAAATGGCCCTTACCTAGCTGCCATCATAACTTTTAAAAAGCCCTAATTGCCACCACTGATTGTGCTTGGTGGGCTGGGGGAAGGAGTGACATTTGAGTAGGTGGAGCTTGTGTGTGTGAGAGAGAGAGAGGGAGAGGGAGAGAGAATGAGGTCTCAGCAATCACACTGAGGCTGTATGCCAGCAGTGCAGGGCACCCCATTGTTGGGTATGATCCCACCCAGTACTGGCATTTCCACTATTGGCTTACCCAGAACCAATGCAGCCCTCCTGCTGAAAAAGCTTCACTCAGCTGTAAACAGTTGTTGCAAAATGTAGGTGCAGTCAGTCCTTTGGAGCACGTTACTTCATTTTTATACTGAATCTGCTGATTGGTGCTCCATTTCTAGGTGCAATTCATTTCTAGGTGTTGGTTATTATCTTTACAACCCTAAACAATTTGGGACCAGGATACTTAAAAGCGCCATCTTTTCTGCCTGCCCATTGCAATCAGTGGGAGAAGCCCCTTTGTGCATGTTGTCAACATCTGAAGCAACCCTGCTAGGAGGGTGAGCAAGGGCCCACTTGAAGGGCCTCACTCAGTATGTGGAAATCCTTGTCCCAGAAGATCTGCTTTGCTCCCCTTGTTGTTTGTCTTCTATGATAGGCAGAAGCCCAGGAAGAAACTAAATAATTAAAGGTGGGGATGTAGGAGGGATATCTTTCCTCATGTTTTGCAAGTGTAGGAAGAAAAGGTTAGTTTTGCCCCCACAAAATATTTTGGGGATAGTATTGTTACTTCAAACCTACATACAGGCAGTGCAATCCTATGGCCTCTTGACAGTGTACAGAAGCAGCATTCAAGTCCATAGAATCTGTGGGATTTGGAAAAAAACTGATTTCCTGTGGATTCCTAGGTTAGAATTGGCATCCAAACTCATTTGAATCTGTTGTGAATTTCTCTGACATTCCTAACTGGGATGCCTCCACCTGGAAGCACCTGCTATTCATTCATGTCTGGTTCTATGGAATTATTATTTTTAACAAAAAGTTAAGGAATGCTTACTGATAATCTATTATATCAATTGCCATTTGAATAGCATCTTTAGAATTCCGTGGTTAGTTTTCCTCATGGTTCCCCCCCACAGGCTTCCATGGGCTATTGCTAGGATGAGGAGCCAGCATGCTCTTCCTTACCTCTGAATTTTTAGCCCAGTTACATCAGGGCAAAAGGTACCCATTGCAAACAGGTGGGTCTGTCAGGGAATAGGCTAGTCTAAAACTCTGTTCCCCGACATTTAGTTTTCTGTGTCAAGACCATTATCTTGAAGGGGGAACCATTCCATCAAGTACACCCCCACCTGTAGTTTGAAGTGGTAAAATCCAGACACATCTCCCACCATCAGGATAATAAAGCTATAGAAAACAGACCTGTATGTCTGGTAGGTAATCGCTTATGATGGTCAATGGCTAATCTCTCTCTCTCTCTCTCTCTCCCCCTTCTTCCCCCTCTCCCCCTCTCTTTCACATGCACGCATGCACACACATGCATGTGCGCGTGCACACACACACACACACACACAACATGAAAGGGTGAACATGGTGATCCTGGAGAAAAAGGCATACAGGGCCTGCCTGGACTGAGAGGCTTGCCGGTGAGTATAGCCTTGCCTATTCTGAGTCTTATCATTTGAATGTTGTCAGTGAATTTCTCTTTGAGGGCAGCACCTAGTGCTTCCTGTACATAAACACAGGGATTCAGCACTAGTGCAGAGGAAAACAACTGGAAATGATCCAAAATGCTAGCTTCCAGAGCAGAATATATGAGTGGAGCTAGCAGAAGTGAAATCTCCAGACCTATCCCATTCTGGGAACAAGTTTCTTGGCTTGTTCTCCTGTTGCTCTAGGAAGAACCAACTCCCTGCTGTGCTTGTGGCAAGTCCCGATGGTGCAACATACTCAGTGGAGGAGTAGGTACTGTATTAGATACTGCCCTCAGACTCTGAGTAGAGTTCAAGAACTCTAGCATCTTTCAATTTTCCTTGGTTCTTTGTTACTTCTGGTTCATGACATCATCATCATTTTGCCATCCTGAGAAATACAGGCACATTTATTTCAAGGCAGACAGAAGTCAGGTTTCTGAGGGTAGAACATGTAGTTCAAAATAATCATTCAAAGTTTTTAGGTTGATGCAAACCTCAAATCACAATACTAAAATATGGGTTTCCACATGTCACCTTGAGTTGAACTTCTTCAGTTTAGTCACTGCAGTTCAAATTTCCAATTTAAATATTGAAAATCACAACTCTTCAGATCAGCACAAGGGAGGATGCAAATTAGTCTTTCAGGTTTTAGGTCTAGTATGAGCAATGTATTGTTATTTGCAGCCACTGTTCTTTGAACCTAGGAAGACTCAAAATAGCTCTCTGAAATTTGAGCAAACAAGTTGCTCTGTAGATATCTATGGGCATGAGTGAATCAAAGTGCTTCAGGAATGGAGTTTTTAGACATCGTGAGTCTTTATCATTTCTTCTAAAATACACCCATGTGCTTCTCATCTCTTTTGCTATTACAACCAACAAGGCTTTATGCCATAATCAACCCAGTTGAGGGATGGAAGTGAGGTGGGAGATGCCATCCCTGTCTCTAAATCCAGTTACATTCCACTTAAAAGCTAGTCATGTTCTTCTGACATATGATATAGAAAATTCTGGAATCTCTCTTCCAACATGACCATTAAAACCCCCAAGAAATAAAATTGCAAGCAATTTACTGACCTATCATGACATCCAACATTGGCTGCCCATGGAGGATGCCTTGACCTGCCTGATGGTAAGGCTTACAATTAACAAGTTTTTCTATGTTCCCATTCCTTGCAGGGCTTTGATGGTGAATATGGCTATGGTCTACCAGGAAGGAAAGGTGCAAAGGTGAGAGCTATGCTGTTGGGTCTCAGGTTGCAGTCCGCTTTATGCAGTGACATTATAAACATAGCAACAGTGGTTGTTACAAACCACATGCACTTTACTATGCAGAGCAGGTGTTCAGCAACACAGGCCCAAAGTCCCATTCTTTGGTGCCCACAGAAAGCCAACCACTGGTTGTTTGGTGGCATCTTGGTGTCTGTGCATTTCCCTCATTTTAAATAGGCTGAAAAGCCTCTCCTAAGGTTGAATTACCAGCAATTAGAACTTTAAGTGAACTTCCTAGTAATTTGGGGTTCTGGCCACATTCCTTCTGTCATTGACCTTGGCCTTCACTAGCCTGTCCCCCTGCCCTCCAAGAGTTTCTCTAAATGGTATTTGGCTCTCAGTCTGAAAGAAGTTCTGTATCCCTGCAGTAGAGAATGTTTCATGTGGATGCCTCAAAAATAAAAAAATAAAAGGTAATGATCCAGACAAATTCCTTTTATTACTGCTCCTGGTGCATTCTGCTCAAGCTGGTTATAGTAAAATTAACATCAAAAGGTGATTTTTATTTTTAAAAAATTAACATTAAAAGCAAAACTCTTGTCTGGTGTGAATGGCAGAGGACTCACAGAGTTGCTCTGTTGCTTTACCTGGGGATTTGGAGTTCTGCCCATCATCTTTTACTGTGCCCAAAACAAACAGCCTTAACATACCATTCTGTGGAAACTATGGATATTACAGCATTCCCAGGGTATTCTAAGTAGCTGTGATTGGAAGAGAAGCAAGACAATTTTGTCTGCATCAAGTACAGTCTTATGAACATCTGAAAAATTCGGAGGGAAATTAATAAGAATTCATTTCAGTGCTGGTTAGTTCATCTGGAGAGACTTGAAATGATGCTTTGACAGACTGGAGCCCAGTTTTTGTATTATCTGTTTCTAGTCTCCATACTAACAGCTGAAGAGCTATTTGGGCATTATTCTCTGTGCAGTTTTAATCACATGGGAAAAGAGAACAGGGCCTTGGTCACTGGCCCCACCCCATTGCTGGGTCCCTTGATGGCCCTGTCCTTATATGATGGAGGAAGGTCAGAAAAGGCAAGCCAGATTCAAAGGTGAGAGCAACTCTCATGATAGTAGTACTCTGATCATGCAGGGTTCACAGGGAAAGCCTAGACTAGGCTCTCATCTCCAGACCTCTGATTTGGGGCAAGGTATCCAATTATGGAAGCAAGGTCAGCATGCCCAGTCCAACAGTCTTCCCATGTGATTGAATGGAGGATAACGCCTGAATAGATGTTAAGTATAACTGTAAATAAGCTTTCTTAAGCTGATGAAATCTCTTTTTAGATCCAGTGCTGGGTGTGGTGTGTAACCAGTATTTTTAAAACCTGGAGTGGTGGGAAATAGAAAAAACTGTTGGACACTGTCCATTCAATACTCTGACAGTTGCATCAATAATTGCATACATCTCCAGTGCAAATTACATGCACTGGTTGCAAACTGCCGAATATAAAAGCTTGAGTGAGTGTATATTAGAGTAGGGATGCAGAAGCTAGCAGCATATCTGGATTTCTGCCAATGTCCAGTTCCAACAAAATGGGAACAAAATAGATATTTTAAATTGATTCACAGCACAACTTATGTATTTCTGCTTAAAAGTAATGCATACAGAAGTCTGTGGGACTCACAGATAAAAGGGCTTAGGCTTGCAGAGCTAATTTCCAAAGCTGATTGGCTGTATGCATTATCTTTGTAGGATAGTTCCTTCCTTAGAAGTGTAAGAGCAGCATTTTAGGTACATTTGCAGTTGCAATCCAAGACTTGATGCTTCGGAATACATATTCACCTTTGCACTGGGACTCTTGGATAAAGCAGTACTGACAGCACAAATTAAACTGTAAAAAAAATCACTGGTATTCTTTGATCTTCTTATAAACTGTCTTGTGAAATAAGCATAATCAAAGCACCTTGAGATCAAAGTTCTGTTTCTCTTACACCAGGGACAGCATGGATTTCCTGGAAACCCTGGACCACAGGTATACCAATGCTAGTTTTGCGGTTGTTAATGTATTGCTTTCTGTATTCATGGCTTCTGCTGTCAATTTTACTTGTATTGTTCCTAGCCATGTGAACTGGGGCCATGAGCTAGGGGAAGGATATTGCACCCTTTGATTCTGTGCTGCAGTCCTGACACAGATTAATGCTCTGAAGCAGCTGTTAGCTGCAAAGAATTACAGTTACGGATTAAAAGGTTAAATCCATGATGTTTTCACCTTAGCATCTAATGGTGTTTTTGGACTGCTCTGCCAAGAGACTGTGTGACGTGTTATCCTTTTAGGCAGTCGGTTAAAGTGTGGCTCTCTAAAAGTGCCCTTCTGGCCTACTGTGTTTAAAGATGAAATCCTATACATAGTCAGAAAGAAAAAAATCCCACAACTCCCAACAGTTCCCAGCCAACCTTGCTATAAACGTCCTACAACTCTCAGCCATTCTTCAATCCCAGTGCTGCCTGTGGGATTCTAGAACTATAGAATGTTTTTCAGTCTAAACATGCATAGGATTGCACCTTAAGCCTCTTCTTTTATGCTTAATGATTTCCAGTATCTGTTCTTGTATTGCTCTTTATTGTTATGTTAATTATATGCTGAATCTGAAATTAGACATACTTATGTACATCCATTGGAATCAATAGGGCTTGAGTTACCGTATTTTTCACTCTATAAGATGCACCTGACCATAAGACGCACCTAGTTTTTAGAGGAGGGATCCATGGAAAGCTTCCTGATAATCACAGGCACATTCCCCATCACTTCCCCATGGGCTTCATTAAAAGACGGGTTGCCATTTGAAAACACACACCGACCTGTGATTAACAGCTCTCTCCTGCACCAGAGGAGGGGGGCGGAGCAGGGCGTGCCGAGCGCATGCCGGCCAGGTGTGGTGCAGCTGGGCTGGCAGCGTGCCGGCAGTGGTCTTCTGGCTGGCGGTGGCGGCAGGTCTTCCCGGGCGGTGGGGGTGAGCGGTCCGTCTCTCCGTGCAGCCGGCGGGTTAAAGCCCACGACTCCTCCTCCTCTGCGGCAGGTCTTCCCGGGCAGTGGGGGTGAGCAGTCCGTCTCTCCGTGCGGTCTGCGGGTTAAAGCCCGCAGCTCCTCCTCCTCCGCGGCAGGTCTTCCTGGGCGGTGGGGGTGAGCAGTCCGTCTCTCTGTGCGGCCGACGGGTTAAAGCACGCGGCTGCTCCTCTACCGCACCGCTCCCCCTGAGCGGCACAGCTCTCACCTGCGCCGGAGGAGGGGGCGGAGCAGAGCGCGCTGAGTGCATGCCGGCCAGGTGTGGTGCAGCCGCGCCAGCAGCATGCCGGCGGTGGTCTTCCGGGCGGCGGTGGCAGCAGCAGGTCTTCCCGGGCGGTGGGGGTGAGCAGTCCGTCTCTCCGTGTGGCCGGCGGGTTAAAGCCCGCAGCTCCTCCTCCGCACCGCTCCCCCTGAGCGGCACAGCTCTCACCTGCGCCGGAGCGGGGGGGGGGGGCGGAGCAGTGCGTGCCGAGCACTTGCCGGCCAGGTGGTGCCACATGGTGCAGGCAGGCCAGCAGTGTTCCAGGCGTTGGGCACACACACATTCGCTCTATAAGACGCGCAGACATTTCCCCTTACTTTTGAGGGGGAAAAAAGTGCGTCTTATAGAGCAAAAAATACGGTAGTTATGACCAACTAAAGTATCCTTGCAATTTAATGGGGTAACTCTAAGCACAGAATATAACTCAAACCCTCTGTTCAATATTATCATTGTTTCAGTAGTTGTTGCTTGTTGTATATGATTTATTTTGAGAGAGAGCAATCCCTCTCTGGTAAGGGTCCTAGGGACCAGAGGATGGCTTGGGCAACCCCTCCAAGATTGGAGACAGTGCTCTGATGTTGGAAAGGGGAGTTGGAAATCTAATCTCAGACCCTTGCTACTGGCAATGAAAGAATAGCACCTTCTTTGAGGTTAGAAAAGCAATGCCAGAGGAGACTGGTGTCTCATTAATTTACACGCTTATTCAGTGGGGCTCAGTATCCCTCACTTTTTGAAGCTCCCTTGCTCAACAGGCTGGAAATCCTGTTGATTGAAAATACTGGATATCCGAGCACAAGGTGCTGAAGCCTGGCTCTGCTGCTGCTCTAGCCCTGCTTGCTTCAGCCTGGCAGGGCACAGAAGTCTCAGAAGCCACCAAGTTTGATTTTTTCTTTTGAAGGTGGGATTCAAGTAAGCAAGACATTTTGGGGAAACAGTCTGGATTGGGGCTGCAGCATGGGGAGTTATCCCTTCCTTCTGAGGCATCGGAGGTATCTCTACAGATGCTTTTGCAGAAAGGAAAAAGATAAGAGCCCCCCAAAAAGACATTATGTTTGTTTTGCTTGCAAAACCCTGTGTCTGTTTTCTTTGAAGGGAGAAGATGGTGACCAAGGCATTCCAGGAGACAGAGGCGCCAAAGGAAGTCGAGGGCAAAGGGTGATGATTTTAAACATTCATGGATGATTTTCATTTGTAAAGATGAATAATACCCATCCTTATGGTTCATAAAGCTGACATAGCTTCCTTGCTTGTGTGAATTGCTGGCAGGTTTTACAATTAAGAGAAAACTGGTAGGATATCAGCATATGGAATTCATTTATTGTTTTGGACATTCTATTATCTTCAACTTGGATAAATTAGTCATGCAAATCCTGGGACGAAAGTGGGTTTTCACTCATGACTCTTTGATTTCATGCAAACAGTGTACTAGATTGCATGTAGCCTTATGTGACATATAGGAAGTATTTTTTTCCTCTACACATGACAACCAACTGAGACTCTGAGGTGATGGCACTGGTCACCTGTGGCAGAAGGGTTAGATTTTGCATGATTATTCATGGCCCTGTCTCTCCTTCACAGAGCAGGTAACCAGAATGCAGGAACTAACCGAAACTGAGGGATTTGTGCCAGGGGTTTCCTACTTCAAGTGAATATATACGCCATCATTTTCAGTTAAATTTCAGTAACTTAAACTAGAATCTATTAGCCATAATTGTTGAGAGAAGAATATGTACCTGGTATGTGAGCCAACTGAATCTTTTGATTTTTAATGTGCTTCTTTGCATTTTTTCAAAGGCCAACGCTGGAATGCCAGGGGCAATGGGTGATCGAGGAGACCGAGGACCTCCTGGAAGAATGGTAATATGATTTAATGAGAAATGCATGCTTCCCCCATTCGACTTTGAGACTGACCATAGCTCAAAATACATTGGCAGGTTAAGTTTGACTGTTCAGGCATTTCAAAAAGCAAGGCCAAGCCAAGCCAAGCCAAGCCAATCAGGTTTATCAAGGGCACAATCTGGAAGCAACTATGCTTTTGAATTCAAATGGTGATCTGATTCCATATATATATTTGAAAAGACATTGTGAGCTAAGGAAAAACCTTGAATAACATGGAACAGAATTGATAGTGGTTCAAAACTGTGATTACACACAGAACAATGATTGTAAGCCATCCTGAGATGCCATGCATAAGGTACAGCATATAAAAGTTTTAAATAAGTAAATAATGAATTAACAAAATTACTACAGAGTAACTAGACTAATCTGTAGCCTTATCATCTGCATCATTCTACCTCAGGGACAAAGAAAATTTTGCTGCATGTCATTATGGATGTTTGGCAGAGTATCTTGAAAAGTGGTTGCTTATATTGTCCCTCTGAGGAGTGAAATCACAGAATATGGTGCCAGGAAGGCAGGAAACATTGCAAATGGTCATCCAGGAAAGTAATCATTTTATTTACACACACACACACACACACACACACACACACACACATGGACTTGGTTTCTTTCTTTCAACTTTTCTCCTATACATACAGTAAAAATTGAAATGATAATTTGATTTTCTAAATTTACACTTCATATTTTTCAGGGTCAGAAGGGAGAAAAAAGCATAATAGCTATGACTGTACGTATTCAACTGTTTTCTCACTATTTGATAGAGTAGAAACTGTACATGAGAGCAAGCCTTAACTAGTAAATATAAGTGGAAATTATTAATGGAGTAAAGTTTTCACCCACTTCTTTTCAAAATCTCTCCTCGCTAAGGCAAAGAGCAACAAATAATCAATAATGTAGACATAAGATGGGAGGAAATACACATTTCAGACATTGGAGATGTTGCATTGCTCTAGCTGATGTCAACAACAGTAAGAAAATAGCTATTGCTGTTATAATGGGAGCTGTATAAAATATCCAGGTTCCCAGATTGCAATCCTGTTCATATTTACCCAACAATAAAGCCCATTCAGCTGAATCATATTGTGCTCTTAATCATGTCAACCTTCTTCTCACCCACAGCCTTGTGAACTAGTTAATCTTACAAGAGGAAACTGCCGTAAGTAATGATGCTTCTCTTGTACTACAGGCAGGTTGGAGGGACTAGCAGATGGCCTTGAAAAGCTAGTAGTTTTAATTTGACATAGCTTGATTGCAGTAAGGGTGCAATTGGACACAATCTGATGCTGTTTGAGGGTTGGGTGAGTTCCAGCAACAAGAACATGCAACCTTGGAGCTGGGACACCAGAAGCTGAGCTCCTGCTTTGTACTGCCCACTCACAGCCAGCATGGAAAGAACCGCAACAGCTGTCTCCAGAAGTTGTGGCTGGTCCTGGGGAGGGGAGGAGGCTGGGGCTGACAGCTTAGGCTGATTTCTTCAGTGCCCCAGGACAAAAATAGCTGTCTGGATTAAAAACATGGTGCAAAGCATGGTGGAGATTACCCTGCTGTTCCTCACCCCATGTGTTGGATGCATGTAAGCCTCTGTGTCTGGCAATTTATTTGCACTGAGGGCAAGCGCTGGATTGTACCCTAAACTTATTTAATTCCCAATCCTTATGTTTTAAGGAATTAAGTTCCTTAACTTTCAAAAAGGCTTACTTATGCAGGATGTGCTTAGAGGTTTAAAGGGAGGAAAACAGCAATGGAATGAGTATTGATCTGATTTTGAAGATCTCACCAAAATGTTTAGATGTTATCATATGAAATTTCACTTATGTTCTTGTATTTGGTCTGTGTGTGTATCTGTTGCTTCCAAAAAGATACTTCCCCAAGGATAAACCTTTGCAAATATACATGTATCACATTTTTTAGGATTTAAATTGGCTTCTTGAATTGCATTATTCTCATTGTACATGTGCTGACCAATTCCAAATTAGTCCTGTTCTTCTGAAATCTCCAATATGCAAATGTTTTCTTTGTTTCATTTTTAACTCTGCACAATGACCCCTTGAGATAGACAAGTTTATTTTATAAATGAGTCTACAGCAGAGGTGGACAGTGTGATGCTCTCCAGATGTTTTGGCTATCATTTTCATCAGCACTAGCCAGGTTACCAGATACTGAGAATCATGTGAGCTATATGCCAAAACAAGCGGTGGGTCAGCAGTTGCCTGCCCCTGATCTAAACAGTAGCAAATTTCAGGAAACTATTCTGTGATTTCTTGGCTGAGTTAAAATTTGAACCCAAAGCTCCTTGGTCTAAATAAGATATGCTACCCATATGGTTTCCCTATAGATTTTGGATAAAGCATAGTATCAGAAGTAAAAAAATGAGCTTGTCCTTGGATGCTGAAATAAACAATATGCTGTGTCTAAATTCTGTCTGAGTGGCTGTTTTTTGTGTTGAAATATTATATAAATAAGAAAACCTGAGATTATAAATTAAAATCATTATCTTTCGTCCCTTCTAGCTTGCTGTATAGGTAAGTACTTTTTAACAGATTTGAGAAGATAGAAAAAGTGTATAATTATTCTGGAAATCCTTTGACAATTTTTTTTGTCTTTTTTGCAAGGTGTAAGCCAATGTCCAGTATATCCAACAGAAGTGGTGTTCGCCCTTGATATGTCTGCAGATGTAACCCAAGTTTCATTTCAACGGATGAAAAGGATTATGATGTCTTTGTTGAGGGGTATACAGATTAGCAAAAGCAACTGTCCAACTGGTGCTCGGGTGTCAGTTCTTTCCTACAACACTAACACAAAGTACCTTATCCGGTTCTCTGACTTCAAGAAGGAAAACCTCCTTATGGAGGCAATCCAGAGAATTCCACTGGAGAAATCTTTGGGAAGACGGAATATTGGAGAGGTCATGAGGTTCGTTGCCAGGAATGTCTTTAAGCACTATCGTCATGGTGCTCTCATGAGGAAAGTTGCAATATTTCTCACGGCTGGCCCATCAGAGGATGCAACTTCCATCAATACAGCTGTGTTGGAATTCAACGCGCTGGACATCACACCTGTGGTCATTGCTTTGAGAGAAGTGCCTAATGTAAGGCAGGCCTTTTTGGTAAGCAGGACATCATTAGAAGGAAGCTTACTTACTACATGCTAAATAAACATGTTCAGGGGAAAATTGGAGGTGAGTGACTGGCAACAGGAAGTAGTGACAGGGCCAGCTGGGGGCTCTGATGGAGATGGCGAGGGTGACAGCATTGTCAGACCAGGGATCCACTAAGGTCTGATGCCAACGTGGTTATATTGGTACTTGTTCCCTTGATACCTAGTTTTCTATGTTTAGGGATCTCTCTCTCTCTCTCCACACCCCTTCTCCTTTTTAATAAATCAGCATTTAGTCATCTTTGCTTTAGTCACATTAAGAGCAAGGGAATCTGTCCAGGTATGAAAATACTTGCTTTTATAAGAATATGAAGCAATATGTAAACATTTCAGCTCAGATGTTCATAACTGAACTATTTAACTAAAAATATGGGACAGTTTAAATTTCGTGCTTCCCACTGGGAGCATCAAATGTTATATCACAAAGTTATGCAACTGAAAATGACAGTTTTTCCACAATCTCCAGTAGACCGCCACGGAATTTCTATCAACAGATACTCCCTTGTCGTTTGATAGGATATGTTGCCATTACAGCATGAATTCATTGAATCAAGATTGAATTTTAATTCAGAATAAGAATATTACATTTTGAGATCAGATTTCAAGGAAGAAATCCACATTTTGAAATCTGAAATGTCAAATATATGCGGGGGACGTGGTATCAGTATCAACATCTATGCTACCTGCTCCTGAAGAAACACATAGCAAAAATGTACATCTTACAGAGTTCTGGAAAAATGTAGAGCAGGGATGGGGAATCAGAGCCACTCATGATGTAGGACTACCATTCCCTTTATTGCTGGGCATGCTGACAGTGGCAGATTGCAGTTAGAGCCCAGTAACATAGGTTCTCATCCCTAAAATAGACCAAATCCCTTGAATAGGTCACACAGCTGTTTTGTGTTCCATAAAGAAAACATTCACTCAGTCATCACAACATTAGCTAACTAGCAGCAATATGTTTGGACAAAAGTTTGTTAACCTTGATTTAGGGTGTGCAGAAGTTCATGTGTTGATTTCAAATAGCTGTTGGCATGAATGGTCATTGCAGATCTTAATTCACTGCCAGCTGGCCATTTTTGTCTGGTCTAGTTTGCTTTTGCAAGAAACAATTGGTCTAGTTTGCTTTTGCAAGAAACAATTGAAGCACAATCTTTCATCTGTGTGTAGTATGCCATCCAGCATAGACAATCTCTCTGGAAACATTGCGCAAAATATGCTCACTCTAACTCATTTATGTCTTTGAAATGAGTTGTGCTGCAAACTATTTGATCTGACTTTCTTTTATCTCTAACTACACCTCACTGTTTGCTTGGTCTCCAGAAATGCACCAAAATGAAGGAAGGGGATATCCCTGTGGAAGTAAGCTGGAGGAATATAACAATCTTTATACCAGGATCATCTATCTCTTTTAATTGCCGTATCGTGCATTCCTGAGAGAGAAAGCACATGCTAGACTTCAAGTCCAGCAGAATAATGGCTTTTACAGTCTCCAATTTTACTCTTGCATATTGCCAACTTTTTAATCCTCATCTCAATTTTCACAAGTGGTAAATTTTGAGAAGGAGCAGTAAAGGAAATAATAATTCAAATCCATGTGAACTTTCTTTGAATAGCAAAACCTATTAAAAATTGTCCAGCCAACTCTAAACAGAGAACAATTGTTGGACCTAACTGAAGGATAGATTATTTGCTTTTAGATCTTTTTCTTAGAATATTCAGTCTAAACAATATACAGTGTGTCCTCATTTCACCTTTCAATCATGTTCCCTATAAATAAGGTTTCTCGTATTCCCCTACAGTGGTAGGCAGACCTGCCCCCTACTTTGAAAAAATATGCAAACCAAAAAGCATCATGCTGAAAATATGGTTTGGATTCAGGTTTTTCAGTGTGATCCCGACCTCCTGATGGCTGAGGCATGCTGGGAATTGTAGTCTGGCATATCTACATGGCACCAGGTCAGAGACTGGCTCAGGACAGGGCAGGGCTGACCCTCCACCAGTGAAGATGAGTTCTGCATCTTTGCCAACATGGAGACTTTCATACAACGCATTGGAAGCTTGATCGACAGAAACCTACCATTGGCAGTGTTCCTTCAGTGGTAGCTGACACATGACTCTGAAATAGTGCGTTCTGTTGGGCAAGGCTGAGCCAATTTTGGATTCACTGGAACTGTGGCAGTTCCAGTGAAGGGGGTATTTAAAATTCAGTGATATAAGGGACTGAAAAGCCCAATGAAACTGCCCCCAGCTTTCACCTTAGCTAGTCCAAGGATGCTGGGTTTGGGGTGCAGTGGAAGATCTTCTTATGAGCTTTCCCACACTTGGCATTTATTGTGCACTTGTTTCCCTACTCATGGTTATTTGCAGTTCTTTAGATAACAATGTGATCTTCCAGTGTCACTTCTGCATCTAAGCAGTGAGATTTTGTTTTGTTTTGTTTTGTTTTGTTTTGCTATACCACACTGCTACCTAGAGGTTATGTAGTGGATAAACAGAAAAGGAAAGGTGTAGCATTTGGATCTATGTTGTGTAATGGAGTTGAAAGTACTTACAGTGGACTAACAGCTAATTAACAGCTTCATATAGAAAAGCTCTGCTTCTCCCACTTAGGATTCATTGAAACCAATGGAATGTAGGTTAGCTATGAACAGGGTTGGGATGAACCCTACTGGAATCTGACCCTCAAAGCATTCACAAGCTTTCTCTTGTGCTTGGCCCAGTATTCCAAAGTGAGCCAAGCTGCGAAGAAGTTCACAAATGCTTGAGGACCCCTGGCCCCTGCAACCAGCAACCTTGTTCACTTTCAGTTGTGGCCACTCAAACTGCAGTTGAACTTGGTACTCAAGGAATGCTTGCTTGTGCAGCACATGGGGAGTGCAGCACACTCAATTCCTGGTGAGTACACGGGGCTCACTCACCAGTAACTCAGATTTTGGACAACTGCAAAGCAGACTGGAGCCTGGGGAGCCAAGCCCAGGGAATCCAATGTATCCCCACCCCTAAATAGATTCCTTACAGATCCCTAGTCATGACTAACTTGGGATTTTGCCTATATGTAAGTTCAGACCTACCTTAGTCTGGTTCCATCCCATTGTTTTGCATACTTACTTGATGGAAATGATAGGAAGTTATGTGACAAATTGCTTTAATTGCACCCTTATTCTGTGACAAGGGAGTTTCAGGGTGTTTCTTTACAGTAAGTTGCTTCTTTACAAGCATACAGGGTAAGCAGATGGAAACTAGAAAGCTTGTTCACAGATGCTTTTAACCCCAGGGAAAATCTATCCAGCTTCCTGATACCCTAACATCTGTTTCTGAGCATTAGAAATCCCTTTGGAGCTGTTCCAAACAAGCTCTAGAACCTAACAAAGCTTTCTGTCTTTCCATACTCTAAACTGCAAAAATAGTTTTTTTACCCTCTCCTCTCCACTCACAGGCAGATTGGCTATAAGACACATTCTGGTGGCTTGGGATAGCCATGAGCTATCAAATGCCATGGAGGTGCATGAAAAGATCTGACTACTTTGCATGATCAAAAAGCATGTTAAAAACAATCTGTCTGGATATGATCTAGCCAACATTATGCGTTCTTTTTCTCTCCTATTAAGGCTGAGTTGTTTCTTTATATTGGGTGCTTACAAATGGAAACTTCCTACCACTATCTAGGAGTCAACATAAGGCTGTTCTGTCTTTTTGTCTTAATAAATTTTTTCCACGAGAAAAGGACTATATGAGAAGTAGTTGCAAGTAGACAATAATGATGTCTAGATCCCTTGCAAAATTCCACAAATAAGGCAGGGTAATTGCACTTGAAAAACATCAGTTGGAAGCATCCATTCACAGATTTGCAAGATGAGAAGGAAGGGTAGTGAAGATGGCAAAATATTATAATTTTTTGTTTGTGAAATATGGCATAAACAAAAGCACAAAGACTCAGTGACTTGATTTCTCACTTGGTAGTAAAAAATCATGCCAGTTTGAGCTTTTGTTTTCATTCTGGCTTTCTAACGTTCTCCAGTTTTATTTTTTAAGGTTATTTAGTTGCAGGGCTGAAAAAATAGTATATAAAAATGTGTATAAATAATATAAATTAATCAATACAATTTTAAAACTTTTTCTCCTGCTTAACCTAAATTTACCTTTTGTTTACTTAGACAGATGATACTGCTCAGTTATTTGTTTGGGAATCTAATGATGATGAAAACTTGGATAGCATCTCACACTGTGCACTCTGTTTTGGTAAGCCCACCCATTAATCCTAAATAAAGTATATGTAGGATTATTTTTATGTAGCATCTATCTCTGTCTGTCACATATGACAGTTTTCACTCACTGACATATTTTTTCTACCCAGAAATGAATCATAGGTACCACTCTGAAATTGATTAAATATTGCAGCCTTTGTTTTTAGTTATCCAGTGAAAATACATCTGTTTGTTATAAGCCCTTTGGCTGCTTTTCAATTATGTTGTTATCCCACTAACTTTTTTTCTATTTTTGTGTGTTTTCAAGACTGTTTTCAATCCTTGTGATCTGTATTTATATTTTTACCTTGTGAACTATGTTGGGAATGGGAGTGCTGACTCAGAATGAGACATAGGTATACACACACCCTGAAGCTGTTAATATAAGTAGAATCCCTCTCTTTGAGTGCACCCTGTATGGTACAGCTGTTAGAGTGCTGGACTGGTACTCTGAAGATTCAGGTTTCAGTCCCCACTTTGCTCTGAAGCTCACCAGGTGATTTTGGGCTAGTCACTGACTTCCAACCTAACCTACCTCATAGGGTGTTGTAAGGACAAAGCAGAAGAGAGGAGGTGATCCTTGTAAGCCACCTTGGGTTCCTTGCAGAAAAAGAGATCACAACAACAATATTACACTATACTATAATAACCATTAATAATAATTTTTATTTTAAATTTTAAAAATCTACCAAGCAATAAAATTTTATATCTATCTATATCTATATATCTATATATATCTATCAAGTAACAAACTTATATCTTAGCCTGCAGGCCTATATCCATATACCTGGAAGTAAATCCCATTGGAGTCAGTGGACTTACATCTGAATAGCAATGCATAAAATAGCTCTAGTTTAATTAGCCTCATTAATTATTTTAATGAGCTACTGATGGCACAATCCTGTGCTTGGTGGATGTTGTCTGGTGGGCCATTAGAAAAGGAAGAGTTCCACTGAGACCATGGAAAAGCTTTTGTAGGTTGCACTGCCTATGGAAGGTCCCCACTCTCCTCAGAGTTGGCATCAGAAGACTGTCTTCTGTGCTGGAGATGTGGGGAGGTATGCAGAGTGGGGAGGGGTTATGTGCTGCCTGTCATCCACCAATTCCAGGCATTGCCTCAGCTTCTTCTCCTCACAAGGAGAACTGAAATTGGATACTTTAAATGTTTTGGAAGGGAAGGGGAGCTTAGAGACAGTATTTGCTTCTGTTCTCTCCTAACTTCCATTGGATGCCCATAACCTTCTGAGTTTGGAGACCTATAAAGGGCCACATAGGGCTGAGCCCTTAAAGAGCCACCCCAAGGTTCCTGAGGCAAAGCCCCAGAGACCATAGGATATCATAGATTTCTATCCCTGAGGCCATGGACACAAGTATGGTATCAGGAGAGGAAATCCCAAAGGTGATTTTCCTCTCCCCATCCCCCAAAAAAGAGCACTGTGACAGCTTCTCTTTTGAGGACTCACCATATGCACAAATTCTAGCTCAGTCTTCTGGTGTATGAGTGATTTGCTTTATCTCGGAGGTCCATGTAATCTAAAAAACAAAAACGAGGCATAGGAGGTACTTCATGGGAAGTATGTTTAGGCTGCAATCTGTAATTGAGCTAACATGACAAGTCACCTTTGCTAAGCCAGAAAGGCAAGGACCTGAGCCTGGATGGTGACGATATGTGAAGGGGAGCAGGGGATTGGACATAATGGTGTTCTAGGCCCCTTCCAACTCTTCTACTATTCCATAACCCTCTGTAAATATTCAGTATTCTAAAATCAATCGTTAGAAATATTTGTAAAAGAGAAGCAAAGCAAAACAAAAATAATGTGCAACTTCATCTCTTTCGTCATCTGATGGAGTTAATCACTCCTTATTGTTTCTTCCCCAGATAAGTGTAACCCAGCTCCAGAATGTGAGATGATTGTTCCCTTTCCCATTCCAATAAGCATGGACATAACTTACATCATTGACAGCTCGCGGAATGTTGGAAGTGAGGAGTTTGAAACGATGAAGGAATTTGTAAGCAACATGTTGGATTATTTTGTCATCGATTCTATGCCTCTGGAGCCAGGTATACGGGCACGAGTGGCATTGGTGCAACAGGCCCCCCAACATTTCACAGTCGACAGGAACTCAAGCCCAGTAAATGAAGAGTTTGAATTGGTTACCTACACCAGTAAAGAACAGATGAAAATGCACATCCATGAAAAAGTTGATCAGCTGGAGGGTCCATCAGCCATAGGGCATGCCCTTGAGTGGACAATTAAAAATATATTTTTGGACGCCCCCAGTCCAAGAAAACACAGGGTCATATTTACTCTACTTGGGAGCCAGACGAGTTCCTGGGACCGGGAAAAACTTAGAAAAATGACACTAGAAGCCAAATGCCAAGGATTTACCCTGTTCACCTTAGCTCTGGGCAGAGGAGTGGATGATGCAGAAATAAGAGAACTCTCCAGTGTCCCTGTGGAGCAGCATCTACTGCAGCTGGGTAGAGTGGATAAGCCTGGATTGCCTTATGCTCTGAAATTTAGCCGAGCCTTCTTAAATCTTTTGAAATGTAAGTAACATGCAATTTGGTTTACTTCCTTTTGTAGGACTACTGAGTTGATTGTATCCCATTTCATGCTGCTCCCTGCATCTGATATGTACCCACTGAACTAATGTATATAATGGGAAATAATGCTTTGAGCACAATTCTGTACAAATTTACTCAGAGGTAAATAGGGCTTACTCCCATGTAGGTGAAAATTACTCCCACATAAGTGTTAACTAGTTCTGTACCCAGTTCCTTTGTGTAAGCTCCACAGGGCATAATGGGACTGAATTTTGGTTGCATGCACTTTAACCTCATCACAGCATTTAGCTTTCCTTGATGTAGGTTTTATGTTCTTTTAGAATAGGAGATAATTCTAGCTTTAGGTGCCATGGCCTAGGACCAGGAGCCTTTGGAGAATCCAGCAACAGTGGCTCCAGCAACTAGTTTCTGGTCCTTCTAAACCAAAATCCATTGTCTCAGTTCTCATATCCTATTCACATAATCCCAGTAGGCACCAACTGCTCCCCCCATTTGTGTGGAGTGGACTTTGGACTTCTCCAGTGAAGAAGGATATCCTGATGAGCAGTCTCCAATTTACTCTTCCTCTCACTGAACTTTACTCCTCAGGAGGAATAATGCCTAAAGGAAAAAGCTGGCCCTTTAACAACCAGATAAATCATCTGAGAGGGTGGAGATTCCAGAAGGACTCAATTTGTTGTGATCCTTGCCAGTTGCTTCTGGTCAATGCTGGGTATTTTGTCAGTATTCTATTTCCTGGAATGCTGTCCCTGGTCCTGAAATTGACTAAGATCTCAGGCATGATCCAGTTGCTTGTCCCATGTTGTATGTCTTCTTCTGAGCCCCTGGCCAAAGCAGGAGATGGAATCCCAGTTGGATTAGGTGCTTTTCAAATGTCTCAAGATGTTCCTGAATCAGCACATTAGAGAGTTTTGTTATATCTAATTTCCAACGTCCTTGTACATTTTCATGAGGTGAGAATTACTCCCACATAAGCCTTGTGCATTTCTGTGAAGTTCTCAGGTCAGCCCACTGGCTTGCTCTTATGTTGAACAATGCAAGTTAATCCACATATTGTAAAAACATTCTAATGGAGTCCCTGTTTAGTCTGGAATAGGTAACATGAACCTCCAATCCTAACCAATTTCTAAGTAGTAGGTATTGAGATGCACAAGTGTTGTCATACTATAGTCAATGTGTGACTCTTCCAGCTTTGTGATCTATCACCTTTCTTCTCCGACTCCTAAGCAGGCGGCACTCCAATGGGTTCAATTTGATTTTAGGCCTCAGCAGAAATGGCAGTCAGCTGGTCCTCTCTCATCATAGCAAGTCAAGATCAAGGTTATCCAGCCCTGCCGTTTCCATGTCAAAGCCTATAGCATAAACTGACGGTTTGGCTTATGAGAGAGATGTGCTTTAGTCTGCCAAGATTACCTAGCCAACCTAAGTAATTGCAAATTCAAGAAAGCTTCTTTAACATTAGGAAACAGATATAAGGCAGGGCTGCCGGGGCAGGGGGGCGGGGGGCCAAAGCAGTGATCATTTGGTGGTGTCCCCATTTTGGTGAAGTCCCCCTCTCCATTTTAAAAGATTGAAATGCTTCTTACTGCCAGTACGAATTTTAAGCTAAAATATACTGGAATTCTGGGGACGCACCCTCTTTCTCAGCCCCCTTTTGTCTTCACCCCCCCCCCCCCACATAAATGCAGCCCCCAAGAGCTTCTCTGAAATCAAATTTGTCCCTTGAATGGAAGTAGCTCCTTCACTTTATATAAGGGAAGGAGTAAAGATGGGTATCCTGAAATGAATTAGCAATTTACTCTCTAAGCAATTTATTTTCTAAACAATTTACTCTCTAGAAAGTATCACCTAGGAATATTTTGCTTATTGGTGGGCCACAAGGAGCACACTTGCAATTTTCAATAGCCCACTGTTATTCTGTGGATCAGGGCCAGAGGATGCTGGAGGATTTGGTATAAAGGGGAGGAAGACAGTATAAAGGCTGGGGAGGCCTTCTAGTTCTTATCCAATAGTAAGACAGGGTTCTGACATTTGAAATGTGACATGTTCGACATGTATGCAGAGATGCACCTGTGAACTAAGCAGCTGGCCCCTTCCTAGATTCAAAAGGGGCTGGGGAGAGGAGAGGTGCAGAGACCGGGATGGATGCCCCAGTCTCAGGCAGTGTAATTCTATGGTTCATTCACAGTGAAATGGTGAAGCAGAACTGTTCTAACTGTTCTAAGAATCTTAAAGGAAGAGACCCTAAAAATAAAGTGCCCCCTCCTCCACTATCTTTTCCACTGCTTTCAACAGATCTTAATCACTCCTGGTGATTTTAATGGAACTTACTTCCACGTAAGAAAGTTTGTAACTGCATTCTCTCTCTCCCCCACACCCTCTCTCTGCATGCATGTGTGGAGAGAGCATGAGATTTGATGTATGAAACTAACCTCCACCAGGGTTGCATCCAAATATTCAGGATGTCCCTATTTTAAAAAAAAAATCAAGTGAAACACTACCAGGATAACATTTTCAGAAACTGTAATATATTAAACAGACATATGCACAAATTTTGGCCTGCTTCCAAATAAGTTTTTTTTAATTATTATTGTACCTCCACCCTGGTTCATTCACAGAATTTTATAAGGGTGCCATATTGCATTAATAAAATTCTGTTTTACCTCACTGTTTCTTCCATCTTTTTGCTTAACAGGCAAAAGATAAAAAAACAAAAACAAAACACCTTTAAGGAGGAAAGAAAGGACAGCTGCAACCCCCCACACTTGTTTTGTAGTGCTAAGAAACCTCCATCTGTTTCTACTATTGCTAAACTTTATTCCTGTTGCTTTGGAACAGCAAATCAGTTATGATCCAATCAGGCAAGGTTCTGAACATGTTTATGAATGGGTCTGTTTGTCCAAAGGCAATTAATTTAAGGATTCCAAATGCTGTATTTTGTGGATATCCATTTTTTTAATGTTCGACATATGTATCTGGAGAACTCTTGCTATTACTTTTCAAAGAATGGTGATCATGCTGAATCAATCAGCCAAGGCTTCATGACCCATGCTGCCTACACCATGACTTTTGAAGGTGCAGATGAGCACTTTAACCATGCACTTTCCCCTCACCCTTTGCTGATCACGCACTAGTTTTGGTGCAAAGTTCCTGGGCCTGCATTAAGTCAGAGTGCCTCATTGTGATCCAACCAGGAAACCATGGCTTACTATTGATGAACAAGCCAGGATCTTTGTGATAAAGCGGCAGTGCAACTGGGGAGTGCAGAGTGCCAGCCAATGACTCCTGCCAGTGGCTTTGTAAATCATAATTTATGAACACTGGGATGATTGCCTGAATGCAGCTCGTTCTTCTCCTTTCATGCATAAGCATTCTTTTCTGATCTTAACTTCAGCATATAAAAATTATTTTTCATTCTGCTTTCCTTTCCTCATTCTTTTCCCACAGGGGAAATAAATCCTTACCCACCTCAAGGCCTGCAGGAAGAATGTGAAGGGCTGGATCGAGGAGACAATTATTATCAGCTCATCGGAAGAAATGAATGGTAAAAAACTTCTGTTCCTCTCCCATGGGAATAAAACAGAAAATTTACTTTGCTTTTGTCATATGCCAAATACCTAAGCTGGGCAAAACTGTGGGTCAATAAGTTCTGGGACATAAACTTTGATGTATCTTTTATCTATGCATCATCTCTTTTTATAGGATTCCTTTCCCTGAATTGGATAACCATGATACTTTTCAGCTATCAGATTTACCCAGAAAAAGCAGGCAAGGAGGAATTATGGAAGCAAACCAAGAGCCTGAAGAATATAAGCATGTAGAGAATGAGTATTTCACAGGTGTCAATGTTCGGGGTCCTAAGGGAACAAGGAATGAAGAACATTTTCAGCAAGTACCAAGAATGACAGGTGTGTATATTTGTATATATTATATATACTGATGGTAATATCCAGAATACCCTATTTTAACCTAGTTATGGAACGCCTTTGTAGTTACCCAGGCTAATGTGCCGAATTCTGGAATAGATTGCACCAACCAGAATGGTTCTTTACTTAAAACATTCCAGAGTGGAACCTAAATAAGTACATTCATCACTTCATTCATGACATCCTTCCTATAAAGAAAGAAACAGTGCTTGACTTTTCTTTTTGAGATAGAATCTTCCCTATGGTATGTCCAAGGCCTGGTTTACATTCATTTCTTAGGTCATGGGTCCTCAAACTGCAGGCCGTGGGCTGGATTGGCCCACCTCAGAGGTTTTGGACTTGCTCGGAGAAAACGATCTCTGAGCAAGTCCAAAAGCTCTGAGCCAGCACAGGCGTTCTTTGAGCAGAGAGAGAGCCAGCACATGCCCAAATTGCAACAGCTCAACTGCGTGTGCGCTGGCTCTCCCCCCTGCACCCCCATTGCACACATCTACAGAGCGGGAATATGGAGCAGGAAACAGAAGAGAGGCAAGCGGAAGAGAAAGAGAGGTGAAGGTGAAGATGGCAAAGGCGAAGACGGCAAAGGCGAAGACGAAGAAACTAAAAAAGGATTGAAAGTAAGTAAAATATAACTTTTTAAATCTATTTTTTAATTATGTGAACCACATCCCCAGCCTGTGGGCCTTCTCTGAGTAAGCCACGGTCGCCTCGCAAACATTTTTAATTATTTTTTAAATGTTAATTAATTTTTAAATTTATTTTATTTTAATTAATTTTTTAATGTGCAGTGTGCATAGGAATTCGTTCATTTTTTTTTTCAAACTATAGTCCGGCCCCCCAACAGTCTGAGGGACAGTGAACTTGGCCCCCTGTTGAAAACGTTTGAGGACCCCTGACTTAGGTGGTAATACATAAGCACCATCAGACTACCTGCTTGCCATCATATGTATAATGCCTTATATGACTAATGGTTACATTTCAGTAACAGCATCTGTGGATACCCAAAGTCATACACCGCAGTGGATGACCAGACGATTGTATGCATGATAACTATCTGTTTCATATTATGCAGAGCAGAGGTGCACAACCCACACCTTGGGGTACACACGTGGGGCCCTATGCCTTAACTGTGGCTCCTTAGGTCGCCCTAAATTCTCCCTAGTATTTCCCATTGATAATCCCATTGTATTTGCAGTGGCCACCACTATGTCTGCCACCAGTACTTGCTAGCTCTGTCCACATTAATCCTGATGCAGGTGGCTGTCTCCTCCCCGTGTGTGTGCAAGCATGCATGTAGTCTCTGAGCCACCATCATGTGCGGCCCTTGGGACTCAGAAGGACATGCATCCCGGATGTAGAAGATTGCCAGTTTGATGATCGGGTGAACTCATCTTAAAACTGTGGAAATGCTAAAGTTTGATTCTTCGTGCTGCATCCACTTTTCCATTTCTCCAGAAGATTCTTCCTCTGGAGAAAATGCCTCCTGTTAGATGAAGGGAGCCTTTGAATGCAACCTGATATGGTTAATTAAATATGCTGTACGAGTCTTCTGTGGAAACAGCCCACATGATGAGAATAGCTTGTCTTCGTCAGCTTGGATTTAAATGAATCCCCTAGTCTGGAGAACTCTGCATACCTCTTAGTATATTAAAGATTAAATATTATTTCAGAAGTTTCACAAAGTAAATCTCTCTGAGGGCAGTTGAGGTTACCTTCCATTCATTCTGGCAGTGGCAATTTGGCAAGGGCCATAGCTCACTGGTAGAGCATCTGCTTTGTATACAGATGGTTCCAGGTTCAATCCCTGGCATCTCCAGGTAGAGCTGGAAAATCTGCCTGCAGATTTCCTCCCTCACTGCATGTCATTGTTGACAGTCCTCGGCTGGAGGGCCTGACTCGGTAGGAGGCTGCTTCCTAGATTCCTAAGCTAACCATTGAGCAGATGTCTCCTCTCCATGCAGATATTGTAGTCAGGTATTAGCCAAACTTAGTCTGTATGTTTCAGACTTGGAGAGCCTGGGCAACTCAGCTTGGAGGAGCTTCTTCATTCCTTGGCAAAAATAGCAGTTGCAGCTGAAAATTCATTTAAGCTGAAGTTCTTATATTTGACATTGCCTTGTGATCACTGAAGTCCATGGGGGATCAGTCAGCTGGAGACCATGTACTTCTACTTAAGTGATTTCCAAGTTGTATTAAAATGTAGCATCAGCCTTGGCTATTTCATTGATAAATAGAAAGAGAATCCTTTGCATACATTCCTTTGATATTTGCAGTATATTAAAAAATAAAAAGGGAGAAGGAATTTTTTAAATTTTGTTTTGCCTGCATACATGCATTTAGAGGGATGCTACCACCATTTCCTACATTAATACTAAGAGGAGAATTAGGGTAAGCAAATTAAGGCAGCTTGGTTTAAGTGAAGATTTGGGACAGCCCTGCTATTCAAGAGGCACCTTCCATGTGCCATTTAGGTCTTCTATTAGGTCTTTCCAGTGCAGGGAATAGATGCAAGATTTCCAGTCAGTCTATGGTATATTGGTCACTGCTGGGAAATTAGGCTGGCTACCTCTACTCTAAGCAAAGTCCCCTCCCACCTTAAGGTCTAGGTGATACCATTTGTAGATGACTATGATGCTAACTTCAAAGATAGTGTGAACTCTCTCTTTTAACATTACAGCAAAACTGTGGTAGGAAGGTTGACTTAACTTAGGCCATTTCTTCTTGAGAAATGGCAAAAACTCTAGGCAAAAACTCTTCGAGTTGATACCATACATGCTTTAAAATCTCAGGTTGCAGGCTATTCTATGCTTTAGAACCCAAATCCTTTATAAATGTCTGTAGACCATAACCAGTCTGAGCCTCTCCTAGGCAGAGACAGCTTGATCAGGAATATCCATATTCTGGGAAACATTTCGATCAATGTAATGGGCTGTAGATTGTCTTTTGAAGAAACTTCAGTTGATGAATAATACAGTAGAATGATTACTGACTAGGACCTTCCTAATGGAACACATCTCAACAGGCTTAAAACAACTGACTTCTGGTCTGTTTCTGAAGGCATTTCAGAATGCTAGATTTTTTGCCTGTAGAGTTGTAAATGGGTTGGGACCTGGATACTTTTGGGACTGCCTATTCCCAGATAAACCTGCCTGATATTAAAGTTGTTGTCAGACACCCTCTCTGGTTTCTCCCACCTTAGAAGTGTGCAGGAAAATCCTCTGTTTCTGCACTTCCAGGTAAAGAGCTAGTCATTTTGTTTATTTATATATTGTGATTTTATATCCTGCCTTTTTCCTACAAAGGGCTCAAGGCAGCTTACATCATCTCTCCTCCTCCATCTCATCCCCACAACAACAACCCTGTGAGGTAGGTTGGGCTGAGAGTCTGTGACTGGCCCAAAGTCACCCAGTTGGCTGCATGGCTGAGCGGGGACTAGAACCCAGATCCTCTGAGTCCCAGTCCCATGCTCTTAACCGCTACACCACACTGGGAGGTGGTCATCCAGGGCCCCCAGGCCGCCTTTGGCCCTGCTAGTTCTTAAGTTGTGTAAGCCCACTCTAGAGAATGAATGACAAATCTTTGTGTACCAATGCTTAGATTTTCCATGCCAGCTCCATAATAATTGATTCCTTGTGATTTATGGTTAGGCAAATCTGGAAGTCTTCATTTCTTATTTTTTCAGTCTTGAGTTTGGTTCTAGTCTTTGTTTCTCACTTTTTTGGTCTTATGTTCTAAGAGTTTTTCCATTCATCAATTAGGTTTGTCCCAAAAGTGGAAAAAAAAGACATTTGCATGAAAATTCATTAGCATTTTTATGCATTCACAAAATTTTCCTAGTGCATTCCCTTTTGCCCAACACATTACACATTTTTGTAAGCAGTTTTCCTAATTTAATGCATTTTTCAATATAATTGCCTGAAATATACACATTTTTATAAACATTTTTTATTTGAGAATTACACTACAAATTTTGGAGAAATGGGAAGCGTGAGTTTTGGTTTGTGCTGTGACAAATTTGTGTTTGTTTATGAATTCTGTGAGATGGAATTTCAGTATTTTGGGGGCTCTACACCTCCAGGTAACCACTCCCATTCAATTTCCTCCAGTGCAAGATACTAGAAAATGTTGGTTTTACTAACTTTTAGTATTAGACGCACAGAGGGCTTATTCCAGGAAAACTTTCAGAGACCAAGATCTTGTCTTTCCTTTCCACTTTCACCTTTCCTTCCTTTTCCTTTCCTTTTTTCTTTTTTTATTTATTTCAAGTAGATCCCTAGTATAGAATAAATAATAACTATATGTTAGTAGTACAAGCAAATATCAAAGCATCATCAGTATATAATTCTAGAAACAAGATAAATGCTTCTATGAAGAGCAAAACATAGTAAATAAGGCATCTTGTCAATCTTCTGAAATCAAGTAAAACAAATAATAAAAATTAATTCTGCAATGGAGAACTGAAATATATGATCATTGGACTGCTTTTTAATCATACATATTCATTTGCTTACTTAAGTTCAGATTTTATGTTTCCTTTTAATATACTGGAAATATCTAGACATGACTAAATCTTCTCTGAAAATCTGTATCTTTTGACATTAAAACCAGATTTCTAGTTACTAAACATGTCTGTGAGACAACATCCTTAATTGTCATAACATGTAACTGATATGTCATTGACAAATGAAGCAATTATCTCAAAATTTTTGTATTTGTGTTTTGCCCTGGGAGTCTTGCACATTTCAAGCAACCCTTTGTGAGTTGATAACATCTAATTTACATCTATTACTGTACCTGACCTAATACCTAACCATAATGCCTTCTAACACTATTTTGTTTCAACACTAGAACCTCTATTCAGCACTCTACATATTGGCAGATATGTTTCCGTTGAACATCAGGTTTCATAAAAAGATTCCCGTAGGAATGGGAATAAAAGCATAAAAACTCAATGCAGAATATCCTTTGATGGATTTGCTTATGAAATCTCCTAACTGCTTCACTAGGTCAGATTGGGCAGTATGCATCCCGGTATTTGCCAAAACATAGTAGTTTGAAAGCGTGAATGAATGTGTCTCCTGTCTCCAATATGGCCTTTGGAGCTTCTCATTCAATTTCCTTAAAGTTGTTAATGACTCTACATATCACTGCATTATGATCTCTACATCTCCCTCTTTGGACAGGCTTGAAAATGGGGTGGGCATTATTTGCTACTTTTTGTTGACCAATTAACACTTTTCCATTTTCTAGATGCTTGCACTGTGGATATGGACCGTGGCAACTGTGAGAATTACACTCTGAAGTGGTATTTTGACAAAAGGCAGGACATGTGCTTCCAGTTCTGGTATGGTGGCTGTGATGGGAACCAAAATCAATTTGAATCTCAAGAAGAATGTGAAGCTTTATGCATATGGTCATCCTAGTATGGAGACTGTCCATCATAAACTGGATCCCTAGCCCTCATCTTGTATTTAAATGAAAACTAGCATTAGTCACATCTGGGGGCATTTTGCACCCCAGGCAAAAGTGTCTCATGTAAGGAAAATGTTACTTATGAAGGGCTTTTGTTCTGGCTGTTTCCCGTAGAAAGTTTCAGTCAACATAAGAATGGTTTTCAGCTTCTGGCAAGTACAGGTGATTTTAAATTAAATATTTCCTGAGGCTATGCATAATAATAAAATCTGTAAAACAATGCTTGACCATTTGGACTTTGCTCTGCATAACAATAGTTTGACCCACATGTATTGAGCATTAAAAAGTTTTCTATCAATGAGTTCAAATTCTTTTTGTTGTACATTTGGGGATTTTTCTGAAGCCGCAGATTTTGACCATGTTTTAGAAGGATTTTATTGCAGGTCTACTTTTGTGTAAATTATGCAACGGAATGTGAAATGGGGGATAGCAGAGCTCCCCAAGATGCAGGATGAAGGCTAGTTATCTGCTAAAATGAAATGTGGGAAATGAACCAAAATATGATTTGCCAAATTCAGATAAAGCAACATTTAATGTTTGCAGTTCAGGGCATTCATTTGCATGTATCTGCTATCTGTTCTGTTTTTACCAGCTGGGATGCCATGGCACTTTAAAAATCAATATAGTTTATTTGACATAAGCTTTTCATTCCATGAGAACTTATATTTTCTTTTTATCTTTGACAGAGGAAGGCTGTGGTCTTATACTCAGTTACCTATTAGTAAGTCCCATTAAGCTCCATTGGTCTTACTTTTAAGTAGAAGAGTACAGAATTGCACTGTAACACAGATAACCCTTTGTCTGATTTATATCTTAATAGCAGACTCCATTAAGATCACAAACATTCTGGAATATGAAAATACTTTTGTAGTTGAAGATGTATTATTTAACGGGGACCATAGAATTAATAAAACTTGATATTGTTCCATAACACCATCCTTGTGCCGGAGAAAAATAAAAACACAATGCCTCGGACCTTTGTCCGTTCTCTCTGGGTGCCATGGTTACACTGTGGCTAGCAGAAATGCTGTCCTGTTTGCAAGAGGTAGAATGATCTGAGCTCCCTCCCCTCCCTCCCTGGAACACTTGATGCGTTGCGCTGCGCCGCCGCTGCCGCTGCTGTCACCACGCCAGACCTGAGGTGCGCCGCCGAGCCGGAGGCCAGCGGATGCCACTCCCGCGGCCACCGCTGGGCCACCCCGGGGACGGAGGACACCAGGGCCACGCCAGAGCCATGCCAGGGCCGCCGCCGACGTTGCAGAGTAGGGCGCCACCATTTTGCAGCCTGGAGGGTTTCCGCGCCCCTCTCTGCTCCCCCGCGCTGGCATCAATGAGAGCAACGCCGGATTGGGGGGTGGGGCGTGCGGGCGGGCGACGGCTTAACCCGCTGGATGCGGCCTGGGGCAGGGCTGGATCTGAGCTCCCTCCCCTCCCTCCCTGGAACACCTGCTGCGCCGCGCTGCGCTGCTGCCGCTGCTGCCACGCCAGACCTGAGGCGCACCGCCGAGCCGGAGGCCAGCTGATGCCACTTCCGCGGCCACCGCTGGGCCACCCCGAGGATGGAGGATGCCAGGGCCATGCCAGGGCCGCCACCGATGTTGCGGAGGAGGGTGCTGCCATCTTACCGCCTGGCGGGTTTCCGCGCCCCTCTCTGCTCCCCCCCCCCGCCGGCGTCGGAGAGAGCAACGCCGGATTGGGGGGTGGGGTGCGCGGGCGGGCGATGGCTTAACCCGCTGGACACGGCCTGGGGCCGGCGGCCGAAGGGCGACGGCCAAAGGGCAGTCACCGCCGTTTGTGGCCATTTGTGGCCGTGCGCAGCTGGGCTGGCGGCAGGCTAGGTCGGTGGGTGGAATTTTATATTGGGGGGGTAGACGGCGAGTTTTATACTGCTTTAAAGTTTTATTGTATTTTAATTTGTTTTTATGGAGTTGTCCCTGGCCATGTCGATGGTTGAGTTACCTGGGGAGCGCATGCGCGCCGCCATTGGGGTGGTCGCAGGCAATGGATGTTACAGCAGTGGGGGTTTAAGTTGTCCGCGTAGAAGAAGGAGGGACAGATGGCTGACCCCTGTTCCTCCTTCTGGTTCTACCCCCAGCCAGAGGGTTCCAGGTAGTCTTGTCAACCACCCCTCAGGCCTGACAGTGCTGCTGCTTAATGCCAGGTTGGCCCATGATAAATCTTCCCTGATCCATGACTTGATTGTGGATGAGGGGGCCGACCTGGCTTGCAGAACAGAGACCTGGGCAGGAGAGGGGGGGGGATGTCACCCTCTCTCAAATGTGCCCACCCGGGTATCTGGTTCAGCACTGTTCATGCCTGGAGGGGAGCGGGGGTCGCTTTGGTTTACCGAGCCTCCATCTCCCTCACGGGACTTCCAGTCCCTTCGAGGCCAGGGCTGGAGTGCCTCTACTTGGTGCTGGGCGACCAAGACAGATTGGGGATTCTGTTGGTGTACCGTGCACCCTTCTGCCCAACAGCCTTCCTGCCTGAGCTGACGGAGATCGTCTTGGACCTGGTGTTGAGGATCCCCAGGATGTTGGTCTTGGGGGAATTCAATCTCCATGCTGAGACTGGTCTGACCGGGGCGGCTCAGGACTTCATGGCCTCCATGATGGCCATGGGGCTGTCTCAACATGTCACAGGCCTGACCCATGAACGTGGACACACTCTGTACCTGGTTTTCTCGACAGGGCAGGAAGAGGGTGGTCTGAGGGTGAGGAATTTATGTCTGACACCCCTGTCACGGTCAGATCACTTCCTCGTGAGGTTTGTGCTCGAGAGCGACTTCTCCCTCTGTAAGGGTGCGGACCCGATTGTGTGGGTCCGCCCCCAGAGCCAGATGGATCCGGACGGATTCCTGAAGGCCCTGGAGTTTCCGGCTGACAAGACTGGTGCGCCTGTTGAGGCTCTGGTCGAACTATGGAATGGGGAGATGACTAGGGCTGTTGACACGATCGCTCCTAAGCATCCTCTCCCACCAGGCAGAGCCCACTCTTCCCCTTGGTATACATCTGAATTGCGGGTGATGAAGCAGGCCAGGAGATGGCTAGAGTGTAGGTGGAGGAGATCACGGGATGAATCTGACCGAACACACTTAAGAGCCCATTATCAGGCCTATGCTGTGGCAGTGAGGGTGGCAAAAAAGAAATTCTTCTCCATTTCCATTGCCTCCTCAAAATGCCGTCCGGCAGAGCTTTTTCAGGTGGTACAAGGGCTGGTCCATCCTGGCCCTAAGAAAGATCTGGTTCCACCTTCGAAGGCCCGCTGTGATGACTTTGCCAAGCATTTCAGGGAGAAAATCGCTCAGATTCGTCACGAGCTAGACTCTACTAGTGATTCAGAGGCTTCTGGGGAGATACCAATGTTGCTGTCTGGTCCAAAATTAATGGATGAATTTCAGTTATTGTGGCCTGATGATGTGGACAAGGTGCTTGGATGAGTACGTCCCACCACTTGCCTATTGGACCCTTGCCCATCTTGGTTAATTAACAACGCCAAGCACGGGATTGAGACCTGGATCTTGGTTTAACGCTTCTCTGAGGGAGGGTTGGGTACCTGCCCCTTTAAAGGAGGCGGTAGTCCGACCAGTCCTGAAGAAAGCATCACTGGATCCAGAGATGGCCACTAATTATAGACCAGTGGCCAACATCCCATTTCTGCGCAAGGTGTTGGAGCAGGTGGTGGTGGGACCACTCCAAGCACTCGTGCATGAAACTGATTATCTGGACCCATTTCAGTCCGGCTTCAGACCCGGGTACGGCACTGAATCTGCCTTGGTCGCCCTGTACGATGACCTGTGCAGGGAGAAGGACAAGGGGGAGTGCGTCCCTGTTGGTTCTTCTGGGCCTCTCAGCGGCTTTCGATACCATCGACCATGATATCCTTCTGAATAGGCTAGCGGGATTGGGGGTCGGAGGCACTGCTTTGCAGTGTTTCTGCTCCTATCTCAATGGCCGATTCCAGAAGGTGGTGCTGGGGGACTATGGCTCTGTGCCATGGCAGCTATGCCATGGAGTACCGCAGGGATCCATTTTGTCCCCTTTGCTGTTTAACGTCTACATGAAACCTCTGGGAGAGGTCATCAGGAGGTGTGGGCTGCAAAATCACCAGTACGCTGATGATACCCAGCTCTACCTCTCGTTTTCCACCAATCCAGGTGAGGCAGTGGCTGTGCTGAACCGGTGCCTGGCCGAGGTAATGGGCTGGATGAGGGCCAATAAACTGAAGCTCTATTCAGACAAGGTAGAGGTCCTGTTGGTTGGCAGATCGGGCTTCGGGGAAGGTGAATTGAACCTAGTCCTGAATGGGGTTACACTCCCTCTTAGGGACAAGGCCGGCAGCTTAGGAGTGCTCCTCGACCCAGAGCTTTCACTGGAAGCTCAGGTGACAGCGGTGGCGAGGAGCGCTTTCTTTCAGCTTTGGCTGATCCAGCAGCTGCGCCTCTACCTGGAGAATGACTGCCTGGTGACAGTGACACACACGTTGGTGACTTCCCAACTTGACTTCTGTAACACGCTCTATGTGGGGCTGCCCTTGAAGATGGTCTGGATACTTCAATTGGTTCAAAATAGAGCTGCCAGGCTGCTGATGGGGACTGGGCGTTATGTTCACATGACTCCAGTTCTCCATCAGCTTCACTGGCTTCCCGTTGAAGTCCGGGCCCAATTCAAGGTGTTGGTGATGACCTATAAAGCCCTTAACGGCTTGGGTTCTGGTTACCTGAAGGAGTGCTTACGTCCATATATGCCCGCCCGCCCCTTGAGATCAGCGGGAGAGGCCCTTCTCTGGGAACCCTCCGTGAAGGAAATTATGAGGGTAAGTACTTGGAGGAGGGCTTTCTCTGCGGTGGTGCCCAATCTATGGAAGGCACTCCCCAGAGAGATCCGCCTGGTGCCATCATTATTTGTTTTTCGGCGCCAGGCAAAGACCTTTTTATTCAAATGTTATTTTAATTGTTAATATTATTTATTTATTTTATTCTATGGTGACTTAATTTATACTGTTAAATTATATTGTTTTATATTATGTTTTTTATTTATGATTGTGAACCGCCCCGAGGCTTCGGCAAATGGGGCGGCATAGAAGCTCCCTAAATAAAATAAAAGTAAAATAAAATAAAAATGGTAGTATCTGGCAAATGCTTCAAGCAATTTACTCTTCTCAGTCCAGCTTTTTGTTACAAATAAGCACAGTACATGTGGATAAAATCCTTTTTTCTTGGAACTGCATGGTGTGATCATTTTAAATATTTCCATCACTTATGAGATATAAATGCCCACACATTTTTGATGTTGGTGTAAT